TTGTTGTAAGACAAGGGAGATAAAAGAGCTGGCACAGAGGACTACAAATGTTTGTCTCCTCCCCCTAGCTTTGAACTGATTTCATTGTTTTGCTAAGTGTACAGTAGTCTGCCTGCAAATGTCCCTTCTCCCCACTGGAACCCCCCTTTGCCTTCTCCCAGCTTAAGCAGCCAAGTGCCCCAGACAGGAGATTCTTTGAATCATCCCATGAAAGGGCAGTTTGTGCTGGCTGCCCTTGGCACTGCTGGACAAGGACCCCCCAGGATTAACACCCTCTCACTTCCTTCTCCCAGATAGCTCTTCCTGCCCTCTCGTGTGTAAAAGTGAAGTGGTAGCTGCTTCCTGCCCTCCATCAGCACACATCCTCTTTCCATTGTGTTCCTGGGACCCCAGTGTGGAAGCCTCTCTGCCCACTCTAGCCATAGGGTCCTGCCCTTTCTGCCAGCTCCCATGATGCTTAGGGTAACACCACACAGCTTTCCACTCGATTATATCCAATTAGCTATTCTTACATTTGCTTGTATGCTAATTTTTCCTCAAGTGCAGCAAACAGGCCTCCTCATTGTCTTGGATTCTCCTGGAACACGTAGCATGGAGTTCTTCACGCAATAGGTGTTCACTGTAGCTCTGTGGAATTGAGGTGATTCATTTCTGGAGTCAACAAATACCTGTATCTGATAGGATTCATAACCATTAGGCATTAGAGGCAGAAAGGATAGACCTCTCAACACCTGGGAAAGTGTTGGAGACTCCTCAAAAATTACTGGCTCCAGGGCACCTGGGTGGCTCAGTGGGTTAAGCCTCTGCCTTTGGCTCAGGTCATGATCTCAGGGTCCTGGGATCGAGGCCTGCATGGGGCTCTCTGCTCAGCGGGGAGCCTGCTTTCTCCTCTCTCTCTCTCTATGCCTGCCTCTCTGCATACTTGTGATTTCTCTCTCTCTGTTTCAAATAAATAAATAAAATCTAAAAAAAAAAAAAATTACTGGCTCCAAAGATATTACTGCCAATAGGAGCAAACAACCAGAGCAAAGTAACATTAGTGCAGGCAACAGAGGGCTAGTTCAGATCTTTGGAGACAGACCTGGATTTGAATCCTGCTTCCGCCACTTTATAGCTGCATAACCTCAGGAGCGTTCTCTGCTTCAGCTTCTCTCATCTGCAGAACAGAGATACTTGTCCCTATCTCACCGTAAGCACTGAAGGAGACAAGTACACCTAAGTTCTTAGCCCAGCGCCTGGCCTACAGTGCATGGCCAGATTGCGGTCACTAGTGATGATGATAATAGTCGTTTAAAGTATATTCACTGGGGTGAGGCTTGTTGGAGTGATACAACAGCCCACTTGGACAAGGCTGTTAGAAAAAAGACTGAAGGGACGCCTGGGTGGCTCAGTTGGTTGAGCAGCTGCCTTCGGCTCAGGTCATGATCCCGGCGTCCTGGGATGGAGTCCCACATCAGGCTCGGCAGGGAGCCTGCTTCTCCCTCTGCCTCTGCCTGCCATTCTGTCTGCCTGTGCTCGCTCTCTCTCCCTCTCTCTCTGACAAATAAATAAATAAAATCTTTAAAAAAAAAAAAAAAAAGAAAGAAAGAAAGAAAAAAGACTGAAGAAACGTGCAAGAAAGAAAGAAAGAAAATTACAAACAAGCAGTGTTCCAGACCACAGTCAGTCTTATCCTGAATTAGCTACCTACCCACTAAGCACTGTTGGGGCCCCAAAACATACCACTTTCTAACAGGACTAGTCAGAGTTTCTGAGGGTATGGAGGCTGGTGCAAATATAAAAGAATAAGGCCTTTCCACTCTGCAGTTGTACAATGGAGGGACATACTGTTGATAACCACTGAATGGAAAGAGCATTGGTGAAGGAGACAGACCAGGCCTCAGGCCAGGCTCTCCTATGTAACCCCTGGCAAGGCACTAACCCATTCCAGACCTTGCTTTCCATAATGCCTGCTCTCCTTTCCTTCCTGGGCAGGTGAGTAAAAGTGTTTTGAAAACAGCGGCGCCTGGGTGGCTCAGTGGGTTAAAGTGGGTTAAAGCCTCTGCCTTCAGCTCGGGTCATGATCCCAGGGTCCTGGGATCGAGCCCCGGGTCGGGCTCTCTGCTCAGCAGGGAGCCTGCTTCCCTTCCTCTCTCTCTCTGCCTGCCTCTCTGCCTACTTGTGATCCCTCTCTCTGTCAAATAAGTAAATAAAATCTTTTTTTTTAAAGACGTAGATCACATCACAGATTAATCCCTCTCTCTGTCAAATAAGCAAATAAAATCTTTTTTTTTTAAAGATGTAGATCACATCACAGATTGAGATCACAAGTAGGCAGAGAGGCAGGCAGAGAGAGAGAGGAAGGGAAGCAGGCTCCCTGCTGAGCAGAGAGCCCGACCCGGGGCTCGATCTCAGGACCCTGGGATCATGACCCGAGCTGAAGGCAGAGGCTTTAACCCACTAAGCTACCCAGGCGCCCCATAAATAAAATCTTAAAAAAAAAAAAAAAGAAAGAAAAGAAAACTGACAGACTGACCAGAATTAAGGTGGTACTATTCATAGCTCTAGGGACAGGCATTCCCCCTGTTTGCACAGCCCTGCCCTTCCTCCCAAGCTGCTCCACACCCTCAGCATCTTTAAGATTTGGTCAGTCTCTCCTTCCCATAAAGCCTCTGAGGAGCTTCTCAGTGCTATGTCCCTGTTTCCACCTGTGACTACACTGTCTTATCATGATTTGAGGATCTGGGCAGGGTTAGTATCTAATTCTCTCCATCCCTGGTGCCTGCAAGGGCTTGGCACTGAGTCAGCACCTTGGCTATGTGATTTGGATAAACAAATGAGGCTATCCCAAGCCACAGCGATCCCTTTAGCTCTGGACTGCAGCATTCAATAATTCCTCTCTTACTGCATGCAATTTTTTCACATTGTGCTTAACTTCCATTTAACACTGGATGCATCTGCCTCATCTCCCTACTGACCAGCAGCTCCCAGGGGCTGCATCCTACACCTCTCAGCACCTCTACAGCAACACCTTGGCCTAAGCCTGCCCCTAGGAAATGCTCAGTAAGCACTTATTGGTGACAGTTCTTGGGCCTCAGTCACCCGATCAGGATGTGTGATAATGGCCACATGTCAAACAATGCAGAAGTAGTGGTTCAAAGCACAAGGATCGGACAGAGCCAGACTGTGGGACTTGAGCAAGTTACTTAACTTCTCCTCTGCCTCCATATCTGTAAAATGGGCATAATACTGTATCAACCTCATAGGGTTGGGAAGAACATTAAATCATTGATTTATATATAAGCCCTTAGATTTATATATAAGCCCTTAGAACAGTGCCCCTAGAATGGTAAACTTCCCAAGTATACTGTTGCTGCTATTAGCTGAGACCGACCCTGCAGTTTGGAGAAGGCCCAGCGCTGATGTCTGCAGCAGTAAAGAAGGGGAGCTGTGTTGCTCAGACAGTAGCTTTTTGTTTCAGACCCAGTCCTCTGGAGCCTCAGTATGTGACTGAGGGTAGCAGACCATGCCACTCTGGCACATTCATTATTTTGGGCTATAGGCACTTGAAAAACAGCAAATGCCGGGAGTGGCTTTCTCTGAACTCCCCTTATCTGCCTAAAGACAGATCCTCCAAAAGGAAGCCAGTTGTCATAAATTTCCTCCCTGGAGATTTGCGGATATCTGCAACTGAGAAAGATTAACTCTTATCACAGAAGAGACTCAAAGTAGACACCACACCTAGACAGACTTCATCACAAACTATCATACTTCTCACCTATGTTCATAAACTTGTTTTTCTCTTGTTAATCTTTTATTACAGAGGTTTCAGCTAAGAATACAGAAGGGTAGAGGTAAAATTCCCTCTCCTGCATGACAAAATTGAATCATTTAGTGAGAGGATTTCCAGAATCTTGACACACTCAGCAGAAATACTGAAGATGTGACCAGGTGCTCATTGAGGCCCTGGAGGAAGCTGGATATCGGCACATCAGGACCCTTTCCTTAGGGGCCACAAGCTCTGGGAGGCAGAAATGCTGAAATGCATGGTGCAGGGACAGGGCAGAGGCAACACAGCATCCAACCACCCAGTCCTTTAACTGTGTGCCTTCTTTGTGAGCGAGACACATACTCCGCCCCTATTGGGGAATCTGAGCCAAGTTGCCTGGAGTGTGCTCATGTGCACAAGTGCTCAAACATTACAGTCACTTATCAATACAGCCTTAGCTCATGCGAGTCCTGCCGGGAAATGCTTCTCCTCATTAGACTCTACCTATAAAAATTCTACCAGTCCTCCAAAGTGTAGCTCAAAAGATGCCTTTTTATTCATTTATCCAAAAATATTTGCTGAATGCCTACTTATTTGAACCAGACCGCCTTCTGGGGATACCAAGAGGAAGAAGGAGTACAGAATCTAGTGCAGGCAGCCAGGCAAAGAAACAAATAATGAAATTCAATGCAATGGGGCTATTATAGAAGCATGGACAAAGTATAGTGGGTCCTTAAAGCACTCACCCTGCAGGGAGGACAACTGTCCACAAATGACTAGAGTAATTTCAACTTGAGAAATGTGTAATGAAGAAAATAAAATCAGGTAACATTAAAGAAAATGGCTGGCGGGTCGGATGATCAGGGAAGAGAGGTCTGAAGCGACATTGAGCCCAGAGTGGGATAATGAGAAGAGCTTGGGCATGGGGGGAATATAAGGGAGCAGCAAATGCAAAGACCTGAAAGGTGGGAATGATGCTGCTGGTGATGAGCACAGTGGCTGTAGGAACAGAAAGAATGTCATGTGTCTGGAATATAATGAGAGGGGAATGGTGAGAGGTGAGCCAAGTTGAAATTATAGCATAAATTAAAAAAAATACATTTTCACATATATATATATATAATATATATATATTACTCAATGTTATCATCTAAGAATATTCTTGGTTGTGAAAAATGATTTGTAAATGTTTTTAATGGCTGTATTTAAAAATCATCATATAAAAAAAGAAAGTTTCATTCTGCTTGAAAAAAAATCCTATGAGGTACACTCCTACAGAGAAAGTCCCGGCTCAGTCTTCAAGAGAATTCAGTGGGGAGAAGGGCAGAAAGCCATGGGAGTTAGGCTAGCCCCCTCCTGCAGGTGTCCTCATTGCCACTTCTGGGCTGCTGTGGTCAAGGCTCAAAGTGGCAAAAACTCCATTGATCAAACCCCAGGGACTGTTGCTATATTCCGTTTCCATCATAGAGTGTCTGAGCCCCCAAAACTTCTCCCTCTGGCCTCAACCCCTTCTTTGTATTGCCCATCTACTCTGACTGATGGTTTGAGAAGAATTCTCAGATATTCCCTGGTACAGACCACTCCTTTTGTAAGAAACAAGCAATGCTGACAAGGTCTTCCTCCAGAAGATAGCTCTCCTTTCTCCTCTCCTAGGCTTGCCTTTGGCTTCCGGCTTTTCTGGAAAGTCCCAGGACTCCACCAGCTTCTCTCTGCCAACATTTTAGTCTTTAGGGCTTGAGCTGCAGGGTCTGCGGAATTCCTGTCCATACTCATGTATCCACTTGTTGGCCACTGGGAGAGAATGGGGAAGAAGAAGAGAACAGGCTCAACAGAGCAGACAACAAGCAGCAATGCTCACTCACAGGGTCAGGAAAGGGTCACTTAACATTCTGCACCCTGGGCAACTCACTTGCCTCACGCTAGTCCCAACCCTGCAACAGTTTACAAGATGGTGCTTCTAGCAAAGAGAAATAGCAAAGGGGATATTGTCCCCTAGAAAAAATCTCTGACAGGTCCTGTCTCCTACAGACTAATTTTCAAAACTTGGGTACTAAGGTCACTCACTCTTCATTCTACATATGCAGCTCCTAAAAGTCTACCCTCCCCCTGGTGCAATGAGAAAAAAGCAGTGGCTTCTGTTGGCAATGTCCATCTCAGCATGAGAGTCTGTGATCAACTTCTTTTTCTGTCTTAAGAACTAAGTGCTTTTGGACACATATATGACATAAATACATCTGCTGGTTATTTATCTATATCTCTTCTTTGTTTAATCAGCTCCTCATGGGGAGGCACTAAATGGGACACATAGTGGCTTGATGGTTCTCTCCCTGGGTTAGAGGGCTGGAGCGCAAGACCATTTTCCTCCTCAGCTGTGCTCAGAAATCAAGGCCTATCTGATCAGGTCAATAAACTTTCACTGACACCTGCTCTGTGAGAGCTTCCCATTCTGTGGGGGGCAACTAAGCCAAATTTGATCATCTCAATATTAAGTAGCACGTAATGAAGCTTCTGGAATGACAAGGCTATGCTATTTTCCATCCATCTTCTATTTGACTTTACTCTGAACCCCTCCCCCATTCTCATGCCCAGAAAAGCAGGCCTTACCCCACTTATCTCCCACCAGGACAGGACAACCAGCATGAAGTGTGTCACCATCCCCTTCACCACTCCTATGCAGATTCCACCAAAACAGTGCTGCATTCTGAAAACAAAAGAGCCCACCCCAGAGAGGGTCAGCCCAGAATTTTAGTCCTTCAGAAGTACATGACTATGACTAAAGACAAATGCATGCATTTCATTAAATGAGAAAGCTATCCATGCAGATTGGGGGCAAAGCATGCATAACATGGCACAAAATGGCATAAGTTGCCATTCTCCCATGAGTGCATCATTTATTGAGGGCCTACTCTGCTCCAGGCCCTAAGGATACAAAGACAAATCATATCCACTTCTGTTCTCAGGGGCCCACAGTCTTCTAGGAAGATAGATATAAAAACAGAGCAGGATAGGACAGTGTGGCAAGTGGCAGGAGAAAGGTGAACACATGATGTCATTGGATCCCAGAGGAGAGGCCCTCAGCAAAAACCGCAAAGTGGAATAAACTATTCCTTATACAATTAAGAACTTAATTCAGGTGCTTAAGCATCCTCAGGCACTTACTAATACCCCCAGGAAGCAGGCTTTATCATACTCCCCACTTTACCAGCAAGGAAGTTGAGGCTTCGGGGCTTTAAGTAATGCAGCTAAGAAGGCGCAAAGTCAAAACTCAAACCCAGGTGTTTTGACAAATCCTGTATGTCCTTTTTCTCCCTGTGCACGGCTTCCCCTGCCCCCGCACCAACAACTGCTACAAACTTAGTTTAACCTTGGCCACTAGAAGCAGTCAAAGCCCAAGGTAAGGAAGAGCCTTCCAGGAGGCACTGATAGCTTCTGCATTCCCAAGTCTAAATCCCCTGAGAATTCCTAGATTCCCTGCATTTACTTAGGCAATGCTTATGATGTGCCCAGCCCTGTGCTAAGTGCTTCATAGGCACAGTTTCATTTCTATATCTTCATTTCATTCCTGAATTAGGTAAAGGCTTTGAGAGAGCTTGATGGGTCTCAAACTGGGGGGAAATGAAACCTCTTTATCACACAGCCCTCCTCTGTGCCTCACATGATCTCACAGCTCTTACTGCAAGGAAGGAATGTTGTTACTGCCTGTTAACTTCTCTGTGAGCCCCTGGAGGACCAGGACCATGAGTTTTCCTCTCCTTCAGTGTTTTCAGACCTCAGTGTTTACTGAATGAATGCCTGAGGGGACCAGTTGTTCTAGAGGATCCAAGGGTCACTAAGAGAGTTCTTACCTTTGAGGAGTTCTATCATAATAGAGAAGGCAGACATGTAATCATCTCCTTGTAATATAAATAGTGATAAAATTTTAAAAATAGAAGCACAAGTAAAGTGTGGTCATCTAAACTGAGGAATTATCTTTGATTTTGAGAATCAGGTGGAAAATATCTTTGTATCCTTCCTCCCAGGAAGAAGCTTGCAAGCACAAACAGCACGGAAGCTCAGGTGTTAGTTCTGTACTCTTACTACAACCATATGCAGGGACCAGACCCCCACTCACCTTGACCACAGGCACGCTAAAGTTGGCATAGATGAAGGCAGTGGCTCCTCCAGCTTCCACAGAGCTCAGCTACAATGCCAAAGAGCCAGCATTGAAATAGTCCCTGACTATCCAACCCTGCCCTACTTGACATCTGATCTCATTTCTGCATTGAATCCTACCTGTGTTCCCCTATCTAGTTCCGGGAGAAATACTTGTTGAGAGATGATCACTCAATTTAGGAATTAAGGGAGCCTACTCCATGGCATCAGTGTTTGCCTGTAGGGCCACAAGAGGACAGCCTTTAGGAGCTCCCCCTTTCTTTATCCTTCCAGCTAATATCCTTATTGAGGGCTACAGTAGGGCAATTTGAAGTCTGAGACCCTCAGGAAGAAATCCAGTTTATATCACAACCCAAGACACACACACCCCCCTCAAGTAGAAGTTTCATAAGACATTCTTACTACACGAGATACCCTTTGTTATTTTCCATATTATTTTATTCTATTCTAGTTCAGATTTCTTAAACGCAGGCCACATCCACTAAATTAATGTCACAGCCCACTAATGGATCATGTCTGTGGCTTACAGAGCAATGTTTATATTACAATTAGTTTTCAAAGTTGGCCTTGTAGGAACCACGGATTGTAGCTTTGGCATGTTTCCCAGACCAGTCGTCCCACTCTAGGTAACCTCAGCTAAGGAGTTTCACCACTGGTACATTCTAGAATTTTAGATATGTTCTCTTAATATGAAGGTTTTTTTTCTGATTTTCAAAGAAATATATTAAAAAATATGGGAAAATACAAATATTGCTCATCATATCGAGAAAAAAGGCATTGTTGTAATCTATATACTAATAACGGCATTTATTCAGCACTGCCTATATGCTAGACATTCTACTAAGTCCTTAGAGGTATATTATCTTACTTATTCATCACGACAATACTTTAAGTTAGAATCATCACTGTTACAATTCACATTTTACAGAGAGGAAACTGAGTCTTAGGAGAGATTAAGTACTTAACAAAAGGTTACATCACTCTTCTGTGACTGAGCCCGATTTGAACCGAGCCAATGCTAACTAGAGTCCCTGCTCACAATCTTTATGCTGTACACTTTAACACTCAGGTTATTTCCAAATGTTCGCTATTATTAGTAACTCTTAGTGAGTAAAATCTTTTTTTTTTCCTTCATTTTACACTGTTCTCCTAAGAAAGAGTCTGGACCATCAGTATTACTGAGTCAAGAGTGTATACATACATTGAATACTTTTGATACATAATGTTATTTTCTCACCAGCAGTGCAGCATGACAGAGCCAGTCTTATCTCACCCTGTCTATCAGAACGTTTGTGGATCCCACCACATTCACGTGGTAGGAGTTAGGAGGTTGGCACTTGGTAGAGGAAGCGGAACTGACATGGTGATTCAGAACCTGGAAGTGGCAGTGGTGATTTTTTGCATTTCATGGCTTCCCCTGTAGTCCCTTGGGAAGGTTGATGAGAGCAACAGTTTGCTCCCTGTGTTCAGGTAACTAACGGGGCCGATTCCATTCTAACCACTGTTGTCAGCAACTATGGGTGTAAGCAAGATCCACAGGGGGAGCCTGCACTTTCCTGCATTCCTTTACCTGTGGTTTTGCAGTGTGGCAGGAAGGAATGACTTATGAAACAAATTAAAAAGAGAATCGGACCTGTGTGCTATGAAGCCCCTGGGCAGGATTGTGAGATCAGTGGAGTGGAAGTAAACCTTTCACTCTTTTGTACTGGCGCTGATCTTATCTCCAATTTGAACAAAAAATTACTAACTTGATTTTAGCTCAGTCCTCTGCCCATCTTATAGATTATTTTCTCCCTACAGTATTACTCTTAGATTCTCCAAAAACCTTAATGTTTGCCATTAGAAATGTTTGTAACGGTCTTTACCTCAATCTGAAGATGAAAGAACTGGGATAAACTAGCACTTCCTAGGCCTCTCGATGCCAATGGCCCTTTTAGGAGTCCTATACCTGCTGGTGGGATGCAATGATCAAAACCTAGTGGATAAAACTTTACAGGGTGATGTCCCTTTAAATTATCTCATCAGATTCTCATGACAACCCAATGAGGAGGTGCAGGACAAGAAAACAAGTTCAAAGAATTGAAGTGTTTTGTGCTGAAGCCACATATTAAGTGGCAGAACCAGAATTAGGCCAACTAACCCTAAGTATATTCCATTCCACTATCACAAATTCTTGTACTCAAATGTACACGCACACATGTGTGTATACTCACCTCCGTCCAAATACACACACTTGCATTTTGCCATTTAAAATTGCAGGGCTCTTGTCCATGCTACCCTTACCATAGTAACTGGACCTTGGTAACCAGGGAGCCAGTGGTAGGAGATATTAGGGAGGTAAAGAAAAGAAAGATACTGGCCCCTAGATGTCCTTTTCTTTGCTTGATACCAAAATTCTTCACTGCCTGTCACTTCCCATGCTGTCTTGAGTAATCAGACAGAGATGCAACCAGCTGCTGATATAGGACATGCCCCCTGCCTGGAGAGCTGACGTCCCTCTATGCCTGATCAGAACATCCAGAATGACCACCTGAGGCCAGATACCACTGGAAGTGGCAGCCTTCTGGTTCTGCAGGAAGTATAAAACCAAGTCACGGGAAGAACTACAATGGAATCACCAGCATTACAGACCATAAAGTGTGGCCTCTGGTTGTCCTTTCTTGGCTGCACTGTGGAGACAACACAGCACTGAGGAAGGAAGGAATGCTATTCCTATACTGAAAAAAGAGGGTAGGGGTGAGCTATTCTAATAAGCCTGAAAGCAGGACTTCTGGTGTTACATAGAGCCCGTCTATTAACATGTTTATCCCTTCAGTTAACAGTCACACATACACCTCTTGTAATTTAAGTGACAGACGACTGAAATTATGACTGGCCCATAAAGAATGAAGTAAACCTATGTGATCTGCGAGGAAGTGGGTAGGTGAGATAATAGCAACTAGGTTCAATTCCTAGGATCAGGTCAGAAATTAGGAGAGGAGGCCAGTTTATTTGTTAAGGGGGTATAGTGCAAATTTTATGGGGAGATAGGAGAGAGAATTTTCACTACACTAAGACAGCAACACTTACTGAATTTCTCTGTAGACATCCCTGTTTTCCCTCCTGTAATCTTAGCTCTCTCCTTTGTGCGACCTCAAAGAGAGAGAGACTCACATCCCCTTCCTGTGTTGGTCAGGCCCTAGGATCTCCAGGCCTCAGTGTAACCCTACTTCCCATCCTAATCACTGCCTATGACAAGGTCATATTTAAGTCTATGCACTGTAAGCTCTTTGAGAGCAGGAACTCTGACTTCTATTTATCTACTATAGTGCCTAATAAAAATGCTGTATGAAAGTCACAAATCTCAAGAGATTTTTGTGCTGTATTGGGTAAAATCAGTGTCTGCTATTGCTTTGAAAACTGTAAAATAAAAGCAGAATAATCATTAAATAAGAAGCCCTAGTCATCCAAAGCAAGACTCACATAGATCATAAATGTTGCAACTCGGTTCCCAGACTTCATTCTGTACAGGGGGCTGGTTGGTGACTGAGACAAAAGTAGAACATATCATTATTTTATGCAGATGGACCACAATGACAGTCAGGATTCCAACATAATACAGGGAGAAAATGGGGAGGTCACAGATGGGAGATAGCCTTGAGCCATACCCTTACTGGCAGGTGTTCACTTACCTTTTATTCTTTTACTAATTTATTAGGTACTCATTTAAGTGAATTGTATACAGTTGATCCTTGAATAAGATGGGTTTAAACTGTGCAGGTCCACTTTTATGCAGGTTTTTTTTCCAATGAGTACTGTAAATATGTTCTCCTTATGATTTTCTTAGTAACATTTTCTTTTATCTAGCTTACCTTATTGTAAGATTACCATAAGATTACCATATACAACATGTGTTAATCAACACATGTTTTTGTTATTGATAAGGCTTTTAGTCAACAGTAGACTATGAGTAGTTAAATTGGGGGGAGTCAAAAGTTATATATAAATTCTTGACTGTGCAAGGGGTTGGCTCATGTTGTTCAAGGGTCAACTATACCAATCAAACAGAATTGTTTGTCAGGGGCGCCTGGGTGGCTCACAGGGTTAAGCCTCTGCCTTCGGCTCAGGTCATGATCTCAGGGTCCTGGGATGGAGCCCCACATAGGGCTCTCTGCTCTGCGGGGAGTCTGCTTCCCCCTCTCTCTGCCTGCCTGCTTGTGATCTCTCACTCTCTCTCTGTCAAATAAATAAATAAAATCTTTAGGAAAAAAAAAAGAATTGTTTGTCAGTTGTGAAAGTACTATATAAGGTTAACTTCATGTTCAGTGAAATAAAGGAATTAGTAGATACAGTATTACAGATAATTATTCTATAGGAACATTAAGTTGTAAGACTGGAGTTCCCAATTATTTGATAAAGAGACACACTCTTCTGTCATAGAACAGTTTAACTGAGATATAATTTACATATAAAATTTACCCACTGTAAGAGTATTTTTTAGCGAGCGTTAGTAATTTTCAATAGTTGTGCAGCCCTCCCACAATCCAGTTTTAGAACACTTGCCTCAGCTTAAAAAGTTCCCCCATGTCAGTTCGTAGTCAGTCTTCATCCTACCCTCAACCCCACGTAATCACTGATGTCCTTTCTGTGTCTTGCCTTTTCTGAAATTTCATATTAACAGAATCATAAAAGCTGTAGTCTTTTTTTGTTTGGCTTCTTTCCCTTAGCATAGAGTTTTTATGGTTCATCCATATTGTTGGATGTATCAACAGTAGTTCATTCCTTTTTATTGCTGGGTAATATTCCATTCTATAGATATAGAAAAATTTGTTTATCCATTCATCTGTTGATGAGCACTTGGGTTGTTTATAATTCTTAACTATTACCAATAAATCTGTTATAAACATTCTTATACAAGTGTTTGTATGGACATATATTTCCTTTTCTCTCTCTCTCTCTCTTTTTTTTTTTATAAAGAGTTTATTTATTTATTTATTTGACAGACAAAGATCACAAGTAGGCAGAGAGGCAGGCAGAGAGTGAGAGGGAAGCAGGCAACCCACTGAGCAGAGAGCCCGATACGGGGCTCGATCCCAGGACCCTGAGATCATGACCTGAGCCAAGGGCAGAGGCTTAACCCACTGAGCCACCCAGGTGCCTCTATTTCCTTTTCCCTTGGGTAAAATACTTAGGAGTGGAATGACTGCATTATATGTAGGTGTATGTTAACTTTTTAAGAAACTGCCAAACTGGGGCACCTGGGTGGCTCAGTTGCTTACACTCTACCTTCAGCTCAGGTCTTGATCCCAGGTCCTGAGATGGAGCCCTGTTTTGTCAGGCTCCCTGCTCAGCAGGGAGTCTGCTTCTCCCTCTCCTTCTGGCCCTCCATCCTGCTCATGGTCTCTATCTCTCAAATAAATAAAATCTTAAAAAAAAAAAAAAAAACCTGTCAAACTATTTTTCAGAGTGCCTGTACCATTTCACATTCCCATCAGCAATGTATGATGTATGATGTATGATGTATCAGCAATGTATGAAATTCAAGTTCCTCCACATCTCCACCAACACTTGATATGATCTTTATTTTAGCCACTGTAATAGAAATGTGGTGCTATCTCATTGTGGTTTTAATTTCTATTTCCCTAATGACATTGAGCATATTTTCACATACTTATTAGCCATTCATTTATCTTATTTCATTATTCCAAATATTAACTCAAATAATCCCATTTTTTAAAATTGAGTCATGGGATGCCTAGCTGGCTCAGCTGATAAAGCACATAACTCTTGATCTCAGGTTTGTGAGTTCAAGCCCCACGTTGGTTGTAGAGCCCAGATAAATAGATAGATAGATAGATTAGGTAGATACATAAAAATTGAGTTGCCTTTTAAAAAAGATTTTATTTATTTATTTGAAGGAGAGAGAGACAGGGAGAGAGTATGGGGTTAGGGGCAGAGGGAGTGGAAGAAGCAGACACCCTGCTGAGCATGGAGCCTGACAAAGTAGAGCTCCATCCCAGGACCCTGAGATCATAACCTGAGCCAAAGGCAGACACTTAACCTGCTGAGCCACCCAGGCACCCCTGAATTGTCTTATTATTGAATTATAAGTTCTGTATATATTTTGGATACAAGTCCCTTATCAGATATAGGATTTGTAAATGTTTTCTTCTAGTTAGTGGCTTCTCTTTTCATTTCTTAATGGTGTTTTTGAAAGGGAACTGATTTTAGGGACACCTGGGTGACTCAGTTGGTTAGTGGCTGCCTTCTGCTCAGGTCATGATCCCAGGGTTCTGGGATCAAGTCCTGCATCAGACTCCTTGCTCAGCTTCTCCCTCTGCCTGCTGCTCCCCATGCTTGTGCACACGCGCTTTCTCTCTCTCTCTCTGAAAAAAAATAAAATAAAATCTTTTTTTTTTTAAAGATTTTATTTATTTATTTGACATAGAGAGAGAGATAGACAGTGAGAGAGGGAACACAAGCAGGGGGAGTGGGAGAGGGAGAAGCAGGCTTCCCGCTGAGCAGGGAGCTCAATATAGGGCTCGATCCCAGGACCCTGGGATCATGACCTGAGCAAAAGGCAGATGCTTAATGACTGAGGCACCCAGACTCCCCAAATAAATAAAATCTTTTAAAAAAGAAAAGAAAATGGGGGTGCCTGGATGGCTCAGTGGGTTAAAGCCTCTACCTTCAGCTCAGGTCATGATCTCAGGGTCCTGGGATCGAGCCCCGCATCGGGCTCTCTGCACGGTGGGGAGCCTGCTTCCCCCTGTCTCTCTGCCTGCCTCTCTGCCTACTTGTGATCTCTGTCTGTCAAATAAATAAATAAATCTTTAAAAAAATGATTTTAATTTTGATGAGGTCCAATTTATCACTTTTTATTCTTCTTTTGTGGATTATGCTTTGTTAACTTTTGCATATGGTATGAGGTAAGGGTCTAAAGTTGTTATTATTGTTATTTTGCAAGTAGATATCCAATTGTCCCAGCACCATTTGTTGAAAAGGTTATCTTTTCCTCACTGAATTTCCTTGGCACCTTTGTCAAAAATCAATCGACCATAAATGTGTGAATTTATTTCTGGACTTTGTTCTGTTCCACTGACCTATGTATCTATCCTTATAGCAATACCACATGGCCCTTATAGCAATACCACATTACTGTAGATCTATATTACATTTTGAAATCAAGTAGTATGTATCCTCCAACTTTGTTGCTTTTCAAAATTTTGGCTGTCCTGGGTCCTTTGCATTTCCATATACATTTTAGGATCAGCTTATTAATTTCTATAAAAATAAGACTGATAATTTTGATAAAGTTTGGGTTGAATCTACAGATCAATTTTGGGGAGACCTTTGAATCCTCAAAAATTATTTGCTAAGCACACATCAGCAAAGATGGGCTGTTGAGATGATGAGAAAAAGAAAGTGACTGGAAGAAGGACAATCTTCACTGGGAAGTCCCTGGGTGAAGTGAGACAGAAGACTCCATGAGAGGCCACATTCTTCTTCCCACTAGCAAATTTTAGAAAGGGGGGCTGGTGGCCCAAAAGGAAATGAGTCAGCAGCAATCAGCTTGAAACCAAGGTTTTCAGACCTTCTGGAACAAGAGCCTTTGTTCTAAGATTTCACTTGCTATTCCCTGAGAGCATTATAAGGGCTCTGCCTTAGAGAAATAAATAATACCCTGGCTCCCGACCACAGGAGATTGATCACTGACCCCATAGTTACCGTAGCATGGTCAAAGTGAGGTTCATAGTGACCGCCAATTCCATAATTCACCACCTGGAGATACTCTGCATAGGGAGGCTGGACATCAAGTCCCGTGAGGGCACCAATGCGATGGTCAAGGGTAACCAGCAGGGGGTCAACGGTGTCCTTCAGCCAGGCACTAAAACACACCACGGGTTGTAGCATCAATGATTTGATGCCAGAAATGACTATGTCTGTGAATGAATGAGTTGTATCAACTGCCGGAAAGAAGGATGGAAGGAAGGAAGAAAGGAAGGCAGGCAGGCTGAAGAAAGAGCATAAGCACAGACATGGAGGTATAACAATATTCAGTCTGTACAAGTGTGGGAGCATTTTGTCTATGAAAGAAGTAATAGGAGACAAGGCTGGAAAAGTACGTTCAGGACATAACGTAAAAAGCTGAGGATGCCATGGTCATAAAACTGGTCTTTGTGGGTAGTAGATAGTAAGTGAAGGTTCATGGGCAGGAAAGTGATTTGGTGACAAGTTCACTGGTGACCTCTGAAGACCAGTTCCAGTGAAGTTGTGAAGACAGAACCAAAATTCAAAGGGATACAGAGTGATGGCAGGGAAAAAAGAGGAGGCAGTGGGGGTCTCAGGTTCTTCACCTGGAAAGTAAAGAGAATAATACCATCTACTCCCTTAAAAGCAATGAATCTAGGGGAGCCTGGGTGGCTCAGTGGGTTAAAGCCTCTGCCTTCGGCTCAGGTCATGATCCCAGAGTCCTGGGATCGAGCCCCGCATCGGGCTCTCTGCTGAGTGGAGAGCCTGCTTCCCTTCCTCTCTCTCTGCCTGTCTCTCTGCTTAATTGTGATCTCTGTCCGTCAAATAAATAAGTAAATAATCTTAAAAAAAAAAAAAAGAAAAGAAAAGAAAAGAAAAAGCAATGAATCTAAGCAGAATCAGATTTTCTCTAGACCTTCATATATCTCCTAGTATACAAGGTCAATAAATGTACCAAACCAAAGAAGTTTAAGGTTAAGCCAAATGATTCTGAATCAAAGCTTTCATTATTCACTTCACTTCCCAGAAAACAAAACTATCCACTCATCCTCAGGTCTGGCCTCTCCCCAAAGATGCTGTTGTCACTGTCTCCCATGGCTCTGATGGGGACTCATCCTCTTACTGATCATAAGTCCTGTCTTTACAATACAAATCAAGGACTGCAGGGGGGTGGGGGCAGGAGCTGAGCGGAGAGAATAAAGCTGGGCTCTCACAGCTGAATCTGCCTCTAGAAGCCATCAGGTCCAGAGATTCCAGCCCCCCTTCTTGCCTGAATGTTGGCAAGTCATGCTTTGAATATGAGTCAGGAGGTGGGAATGGAACCTTATAAAGTCAAATTCCAAATGGGAATAGAACTGAATTCTCTGGAAAAGCAATCCTGGTGAGGAAAACATCTACACACCTAATTCTGGATCCCAGCATAGAAGCTTTGTCAAGTCTTTCCCTAAGGGCCTCCTCATTAAGTCCTCAGACCCTATAACAACCTGTGAAATAGCCTTGGGTGAGGGGAGTAGAAATTTCTTCCTCTCAACAAGAATGTGCAGACATAAACATGAACTATGGGTTCTCTAGCAGCATCTCCGAATGGCTGTTGCTGACCTTCAGTCAGCTGTGCCACAGGCCCAGGGCAGGCAGCAAGTATGACCAGAGTCCCTGTCATGGAAGGACCCCTCTTACCTTTTGCTGATGCGGTACTCCACTGGCAACTGCTTTTCCCCTGATGCCACCACAGATCTCTGTAGCTGAAGCGGAGGCCGTAAGAGAAAGTACAAGTTATGATGTGAAGGGAAGGGCTCCATTATTTCCACAGACATGCCCCCTCTTCAAAGTAAACCTAACAATCGCCAGTTCCTCCCTAATTTAAAATATTTTGCACATGCTACTAATTTAGTGATAGCTATTGATCTCAAAAACAAAAGCTAGTAAGTGACCAAAAAATCTGTCTTGAAAATAACCTTGCTTGCTGAACTAAAATAAAGTGGTATTTGAATCCCTTCTGCATCTGAGACTGAGTTCTGTCAGAACAGGGACTGCTTCTCACTCATCTTTGTATCCTAGTGGCACAGGGTCTGGCCTACGGTAAGCACTTAGTGTTTGTCATGTTAACTGAACACCTCCAACGAGGAAAAACTCTCCACCCTCAGGTGTAGCCCACTCCCCTGAACAATTCTGACAAAACCCTTCCTTACAAAGAATCAAAATCTGTTTTGCTGCAACCTCCCTGACTATGTGGGGGGAAAAAGTCCCAAAGAGGTTCAATGTAACCAATTTCACTAAATGTTTCTATTTTGTTCTGAATGTCTAGATATGAATTTTAAATTCTTTTTATATAAAGTGGCTTCTAACTGCAAAGGCACTGTACCAGGTACAGAAAGAGAAAGATTTACATAAGGATGTGTCTGCTTCTGCATCTGTCATCAAAATGTCAGCTCCAAGAGAGCAAGTCTTTTGTCAGTGCTATGTCCCTAGAGTCAAGAGAAGCCTGGCAGGGGCAGGTGCTCAATATTGGTGAACGGAGCAAATGAATGAATGATTGAACCAGAGTCCTGTGCTTAATGACCCAGCCCTGGAGCTTCACATGCCATCAGAGCAGAGCACGAGGCAATGAACTGCACAAGACACACACCCTTTCCCTTCTTGGGGGCGTCTATCATATTACTATTCCTGCTGCTAAACCAGGTAGACAAATTTGGAAAAGTCTCTTTGTTTCCTTGAACCTGTTTCCCCAGCTATAAAATGCAGCATGTGAACAACACCTTCTTGGGGGTTCCTTTCAGCCTATCCTCCTATGGTATCAGGATGCAGGGAATCAGTAGGCAACTGATAATGCCTCTGTCTAGTCCTTCACTCAGCATCCTCCCCTGAACCCCTCGCAGAGGAGAGAGGAGAGGTTCTTAGAGGAGTTGCTACCTTACATTCTTCTAGGGTAACATCAGTGGTTTAAAGAAAAATCTTAGGGAATCTCCATTCCATCCTCGTCCCCATTAAGACTTAACTCCTTTAACCCTTATTTATCGTACACCAGCAAGTCATTCACTTCTGGGGACAAATATCTACTGGTTGTTCTCTGTGCTGAGCACCATGCAGGGCACTGGAAACACAACATATGGAGTAGACATAAGTCATGTAATGGAGCCGTAATGGACAAGTCCAGGCCACTAAGAGAATATTAAGAAGGAACATCTCATCCCTTATGAGGGACAGGAAGGCTTCCCAGGATACCCAAAAGACAAATGGAATCAAACAGGTGAAAAGAGGCCAAGGGGAGAGTGATTTAGGCAGAGAGAAGAGTGTGCACAGAGGTTGAGGGAAGCATGCCCCGTTCATAGAGATCCAAGTGTTCAATGTGTCTGGGGCATCAAGTGCAAGGGCACAAGCTGTGGAGGGGCCAAAAGCAGCAGGTCAAGGAGTTTTATAACATTCAAGGGTTTAAAGCAAGGGCTTGATGTGGTCAGATGCAACCTTTTAAACAGTACTCTGGCTGCAATGGGCGTAATACAGGGCGAGGCATTTCAAGGACCGCCTATGATCCCTCCTAGATTATAATCTAGTTGAGGAGACAGGATGCTAACTCTTGAAATAGCTAGTGATACAAGACAACACAAAAATGGTACAATAAATTTAAAAAATTAAATACCAGACAACTTGTGACAAAAGCTTTGAGTTCAAAAAAGAGAGAGGTTATTATATGTGGCCCCAAGAAGTGCTCTGAAAAAAAATGTTCCTACTGAAAGAACCCACGAAAGTGGAGAGTGACGGGGCTAGTGGGCAAAGAGAGGCATGAGGCTTCCCTTGAGTCTTTAAGAATGGGTGGGATGTGGATAGAGGGAGAAGTGACAAGAGAGCAGTGTCTGGGATGGGAAGCATATGGAATAAATTCAAGCCTCAGGAGAGGAGGCTTCAGTGGCTTGGGTTGAATTTAGTTTCCATGCGGCAGCCCCACCCTCTGAGCCGAGGCTTATTCCCGGCAAAGCCCAAGACCAGACAGAGAGCAACGTCTCCACATCAGCATCTGGGCAGAGGGAGAGTGACAAAGTCTTTGCCTGCCAAATAGACGACCTGGCCCTGACGGACTGCGGGGTGGGCTGCCTGTCCTGCTACCATGACAACAGAGTTGTTCTAAGGAAAAAGTAGCTGCTGGCCAAATACTACCACTGGCTCACTGAGATGTCAAAGCTGTTGAAGATATTTTGTTCCAATTGACCAGTGGAGCTTAATGCTCTCAAAAATTGCACAAAGATTCCAGACCTCACTGGAGGGGCTCCTGGATGAGATGACTATTGCTACTCTTATCCCTCCAATCCATGTCTATTGTCAGAATCTTCCTTAAAATCAACAGGCCTGATCATGCCAATCTCCTGTTTAAACTGTCCAAGAGCTCCCCGCTGCCTCCGGGATAAAATCCAAGCTCCCCAGCACAGTACTTATGACACTTCCTGACTATGTCTCCCCATTTATCCTCATCTCCGATCACCTCCCGCCCCAACCCTTGCACGCTTGCGCCAGCAACCTGCACCCCGTTCTCTGAACGCATCTCATGTGGGGTCTTTGCACGTATTGTTTCGTCTTCCTCCCATACCCTTTGCCACCCTGTTACTCTGATGAATTTCACATCCACCGGGAAGCCTTCTGTTTTTCCCTCCCTTCCCATCTGCTCTTCACCCATCTGCCTTTCCCTCACAGGAAGGCTCACTTTTTGTTGCCGCCATAGCACGCACAGCTCCCTGCACACACCTCTACTAGGGCGCCTAGCACCGCGGACTGTAAATATCTGTTTTCCCCCATTATGCTGTGAGCTCCTACAGGAAAAGGGCCTACGTAGTATATCTCTGCGAATGTCCCGCACTCGGTACAGTGTCTGGTGCACAGCAGGCTCAGTTCTGTTGACAAGTGACCAAACGACCACTTGGATGAACAGGGCACCCTCAAGGGCATGATGACATAAGGAATTCTGAAACAGCCATCTAAAGAGGCAGCATGCTTACACTGATGAGGTCGGCGTGTTATTTTTCTAAATATCTGCCATCCTTCCTGGGCAGGGATTAAATGTCCTCTTCCCCTTGGCATCAAGGTTGGCACCGCAGCTCGAAGAGCCTTCCCTGTAGGAGCATTAGACACACTCTCCCTGTTGACTGCAGCGGTGGCCCCAAGCTTTGTCTCAACCAATGAGACAGGGCAGAGGCAGAAGCTTTAGGAGCCAGCTGGTAGTTTGCCATCTCTGTCTTTGTCTCCTGTCAGACTGGAGATGTCCCAAATATAGGCGGCTCTGTCAGGCTGGGTCTCCAAGTGAAGACCGTTCTGCCCCCCCAACTGCAGCCAGCTCAAGACAGACACATAGTGTAAGTAAGCAGCAAAACTTTGTTGTTGTTGTGTCTGAGATGTGGGGGCTATTTGTTACTGACCATAACTTAGCCTAAGGCGATACGAGAAGGCAGAATAACAGAGCAGCCATCAATGTACTAAGTTCCAGGGTTGGCTCCAGCTACCTGCCTGACCTTCATCAAGTCCCTTTCCCTCTCTGGGCCTCAGTTTCCTCTTTAACAAAATAATCTAGCTAAACTAGATAATCTTTCCTCTCTGAAATTCTGTAAATTTGCACTAGGATATCACTCCTTGTCCACCACTTCCCCCATTTAAAAAAAAAAATTTTCTACCCATTATGTGGAATGATTGACATTGGGGAGGAGGGGTCCTTTTGATCTTTTTTAGGTTATATTGACATATAATGATATGCACAGATCTCAAGTGTACCATTTGCTGAATTTTCACAAATGTACACAGCTATGTACTCCACATCCCTAACAAGATATTGAGAGCACATTTTCAACATCCCAGAAAATGCCCTTGTCCCTTTCCCCAGCCAATCCCCTCCCTCCAAAAGCAATGACTTCTGTGATTTTTTTTCACATTGATTTGTTTTATGGAAGGGCTGGCATTCTGAATTCCTGGACTGGTAAAGCATATAGTTGTTCAGGCTGACTGTTCTCACATTCCTGAACTCCAGGCATGTGATGACACAAAGCGAAGCTCTTGGCAGGCTTTGGGGTTACTCACCCACGGTTCTGCAAGCCCTCTAATCTTCTGAGCCTCCACGTCACTGATGAAGTCATGGTAGAGAACAACATAGGGCTCCAAGTGGATGACCTCCTTCCGGATGGGCTGGAGCAGCAGGTAGGGGCTTGAGTTTGTCTCATAGGAGCAGTAAAGGCTAGGGATCTGGTAGTGAATAGGCTGGAAGGAAAAACTAGAGTCAGTATAAGAGATGAAGGGTTTAGGAGAAGAAGCCAATGTAGGGAACTATGGCATAAAAAAAACTGGTATGTGGGAGATTGAGAATGTGGTCACTCTGATGCTGTCCAAATGAGCTTTACATTTCTAATCCATCAGCCTTTTCCCCTCACATCATTCCAATGCTACCTTCTCTTTCTCTGGGTAAGCCTATTCCCCCTTTTCTCTTTCCCTGAGGACTCCTACCTGGGATCCCAGGGTCTGACATAACCCCTCGTAGGTGTCTCTGGTCTGCAGGTGGGGAACATTGGGCCTCTGGATGACAGCCTCAGCTACCACCTGGTTGGGGCTCTCTGCCAAAAGTCTTTCATATTTCAACACATTTCTGGCCACCCTCTTATTATCTGGGCCTGGAAGAAATCAGAGCAGGGGATAATACAGATTAACAAACAATGGTCTCAGGGAGTGCTGCCAAGGTTTCCTATAGCTTCCCAGTCACACACAACCAGCCAATGGCCACCCTGAAAAGCTCCCGTGTCCATGCACAGGAGGATATAAGGTCCTCACTCCCAGAAGAGTACCTGTATTAAGAAAGATCGAGTTAGGTCCAGTAGGTCTGAGGGTGCAAAGGACTTTGGGAAGGAAAGTGGTACTTAACACTGTTAGATCAAGGGATCATAAGGATGGCAGCTCTAGGATAGTGTGATGGTAAGTTTTATGTATTAGGAAGAAGCTTCCTAACTCATTCCTTTCTTCCTTCCTTTATTCATTTACCCATTCAATAAATCTTCAGTGAAAATCTACAAGGTACTGAGTACTGTGTTAGAGGCTAACCTCCCAGAGTTTGGAGCCTAATGGAGAAAAGCTACATTAAATAACTACTCACAATGAAACCCATAAATGCCATGAAAGAGAAGTCCAGAGAGCCAGAGCCTAAAGCAGAGAGACCCAACCTATTCTTCCCTAGAGCAGTGAAAGCTAATCCATTTCCCAGACTATGAGATCCTTCAAAATTCCCAACTGGCCTACATACAGAGCAGTGCAGGGTGAGACAGAGGGGTTCTAGGCTTTGGTTCTAGCCTGAGTTCCCCCTGGGGTCTTGTGTCTTATCTGTACCCACCTGTTGGTGCCCACTGTGGCTATAAGAGGTCCATGGGCTGGCAGCTACCCATGGCCTGCTAGCCTCTGTGCCTGAGTTTTAGTGCCTCTCAGAAGGATGTGCTGGATTGTTCTAATGATCCCAAAGCATTGTTCTCTGAGGAGCTCAGTGTGCCTCTAACTACCACCACCACACCCCTGGCAAAAGTTACCAATTTTTTTTGTAACAAGAGACAAAATGAAGTTAGGGAGAATAGAAGTAATGGCCCCAAAACCCCAGTGAAAATACTACAAAGCCAGAAATAGAACTGGTAATTTTAATTTGCTTTGTCCTATTCCACCTATAACTGCACATGGTTTGGGTTCTCTGGGACAGGCAGAAATTTTAATAGCCAAACATAAAGAAATAAAGAAGGGCTGGGTTATCATTTTGCCTGTAGTAATTGCCCACATGTCTCCAGACCATATGGCTACTTCCACATCCTACTGTTTGCCCAGTTTCCAGAATAGAATAATGTTACTAAATGGATTCATTAAAAAGCAATAAATACATACAACTGTGAAGTCCTATGTGAAACACTTTATAAATATTAAAATATCACAGTGATTATTTACTTACTTTAGTATCTCAGTATTTTATTAAAGGAAAACCTGGGAAGCCAGCTTCCACCAAAATTTTAACTAAAAATATCCAAGCAGAGAACTAGGCTGGGAAATCTTGCTCCTGTTCTACTCTGGTGATGTGCTGTGTGAGAAGGGTCGAAGCTGAACCCTGCACTAACCGAGCAGGGTGCTTGATGGCCAAGCGAGCTCTGGTTTAAAGGGAAGAACTGATATCTCTGTGGAAACAGCCAAAATAAGTAATCCCACGGAGTCACTCCCCTTACACACACAGCTCTCACTGACTTCATGCGCGCCCAGTCCTGGCCTTGTTCCCCACTGGAGCAGCACTAATGTATACCTGGCTGTGAGTGGAAGAGGAAAGGGACAGACTGATACTTCCTTAGCATTTTCCCACAAACCAAAAAACTTTCCCCTGATATATTGATCAGTAGCTAAGTAAGATTCAATCCAAAATTAGAAATGTGGCTTGGATTATAAAATTAGAGAAATAAAAACACATAGCTGTCTTTTCCTTGCAGGGATTAAGGGCCAGGAGCAGAAGGGATTTCCCAGTGAATCAGAGCCATGGCTCATTGATCTTCTATCATTACGTACTGTAGAGAAGAAACTCTCGGGAAAGGCTGAGGGCACACGAAACATTGCCAGCCTATAAAACAAAAAGAAAGAAAAGGAGGCGTTAGCCACACTGAGGATATCTTCTTTGACCAAATCATTAAATGGACTAAAAAAAAAACTCCTCAAACTCAACACACACAAAACAGATAATCGTATCAAAAAATGGGCAGAAGATATGAACAGACACTTCTCCAATGAAGACATACAAATGGCTATCAGACACATGAAAAAATGTTCATCATCACTAGCCATCAGGGAGATTCAAATTAAAACCACATGGAGATACCACCTTACACCAGTTAGAATGGCCAAAATTAACAAAACAGGAAACAACATGTATTGGAGGGGATGTGGAGAAAGGGGAACCCTCTTACACTGTTGGTGGGAATGCAAGTTGGTGCAGCCACTTTGGAGAACAGTGTGGAGATTCCTCAAGAAATTAAAAATAGAGCTTCCCTATGACTCTGCAATTGCACTACTGGGTATTTACCCCAACGATACAGATGTAGTGAAAAGAAGGGCCATCTGTACCCCCATGTTTATAGCAGCAATGGCCACGGTCGCCAAACTGTGGAAAGAACCAAGATGCCCTTCAACGGACGAATGGATAAGGAAGATGTGGTCCATATACACTATGGAGTATTATGCCTCCATCAGAAAGGATGAATACCCAACTTTTGTAGCAACATGGACAGGATTGGAAGAGATTATGCTGAGTGAAATAAGTCAAGCAGAGAGAGTCAATTATCATATGGTTTCACTTATTTGTGGAGCATAACAAATACCATGGAGGACAAGGGGAGTTAGAGAGGAGACGGGAGTTGGGGGAAATTGGAAGGGGGGTGAACCATGAGAGACTATGGACTCTGAAAAACAATCTGAGGGGTTTGAAGCGGCAGGGGTGTGGGAGGTTGGGGGAACCAGGTGGTGGGTATTAGAGAGGGCACGGATTGCGTGGAGCACGGGGAGTGGTGCAAAAACAAGGAATACTGTTATGCTGAAAATTAAAACAAAAACAAAAACAAAAACAAACTATAAAATACTCTTACCACCAGTAGACAATAAGACTCACTGAAATGAGCAGCAGACTAGAAATGTAGAGGTTCTCCGTTCTAATTCAGCATTTTCACCCCTAATGCAACTCAGGTCTCCTCAGTGTCCTCATTTTACAAATGACTCATTCCCACCCTTACCAGGGAAGGTAGAAACATAAATGAAAATAAACTTTCTTAAAGTGCCTCAAATCTTAAAGCATGCAAAACCACATAACTGGAAGGTGGTGTTATTTTGGTATATTTCATTATTAAATTTAACATGAAACTATAAAAACCCTAGTAAAAATATAATTTGTTCTCCAGGCTCAGTCCTTCCTATAGTCTACGAAGGTAGCAGGAGGGAGCCAAAGGAAGAACTAAACCTGAAACATTCCCACTGCATAGTAATGACCTCTCCTTGCCACTGCCATTTGACCTTGAGCTACACATGTTCAGAAGTACACAGGGGCTTTCCGGACAAACTGGGGGAAAGAACCCAGTGTAGGTGGGCTGCCATCCTGCCCTGGGCGCCAAGGAATGATGACGAACTAATAGAATCTTATATCCTTCTGGTCATTTCATTGTTCTGTGCTAAAAATTCATGTTTCAGGGCGCCTCCGTGGCTTAGTTGGTCAGATGTCTGCCTTTGGCTCAGGTCATGATCCCAGGGTTCTGGGATCAAGCCCTGCATCAGGTTCCCTGCTCAGCGGGGAGCCTGCTTCTCCCTCTCCCTCTGCTGCTCCCCCTGCTTGTGCTCACTCTCTCAAATAAACAAAGCCTTTAAAAAAAATTCATGTTTAATGACAAAAGCAACAATAAGCACACTATGAAACATAAGAGACAGGAAAAAGAAATGGTCTGTTGAAACCCAGGGGCTCCAAGCACTTCAGATGACATAGAGCATGTACACATTCACATTTGTTACACATTTTCATATCCTGATTGTTTTACTCCACATTGTCATCAGGGGGACTTTTTATATCATTTCATAGTCTTCGGAGATGGCATATTTTAACTGTGGTAAGAAACACACAACTTAGGGACACTTGAGTGACGCATTTGGTTAAGTGTACGACTCTTGGTTTTGGCTCAGGCCGTGATCTATGGTCATGAGATTGAACCCTTCAAGCAGCTCCACACTGAGTACGGAGTCTGCTTGAGATTCTCTCCATCTCTCTCTGACCCTCCCACTAATGCTCTTTTCCTCTCTCTCTCTCTTAAATACATCCATGATTCTCAAAAACAACAACAACAGGTAGCTTGGGTGGTTCAGTCATTGGGCATCTACCTTCGGCTCAGCTCATGATCCCAGGGTCCTGGATCAAGCCCTGCATAGTGCTCCCTGCTCAGCGGGAAGACTGCTTCTCTCTCCCCCACTCTCCCTGCTTGTGTTCCCTCTCTCACTGTATCTCTGTCAAATAAATTTTTAAAATCTTAAAAAAAAACCTCACAACATAAATTTACCATCTTAACCATCTCTAAGTGTACAGTTTGGTAATGTTAACTACATTCACATTGTTGTGCAGTCAATCTCCAGAATTTTTCCATCTTGCAAATCTGAAACCCTGGACCCAACAAACAACTCTCAATTGCCCCCTTCCTTTAGTCCCCGGTAACCACCATTCTACTTTCTGTCTCTATAAATTTGATTCCTCTGGATACTTCATATAAGTGCAATCATACAGTATTTGTCTTTTTGTGACTGGCTTATTTCATTTAGCATAATATCCTCAAAGTTCATCTATGTTGTAGCATGTGTCAGAATTTCCTTTTTTTTTTTTTAAAGATTTTATTTATTTATTTATTTGAGAGAGAGAGAGAGCATGCACAGAGGGAGAGGTGGAAGGAGAAGCAGACTCCATGCTGAATAGAGAGCCTGACACTGGGCTCAATCACAGAACCACAAGACTATGACCTGTGCCAAAGGCAAATGCTTAACTGACTGAGCCACCCAGGCACCCCTAAGAATTTCCTTCTTTCCTAAGGCTGAATACTATTTTCTTATATAGAGAGACCACATTTTTAATAGCTGCATTTCATTCTACCTAAAAGCTATATCACAGATGACCTATACATATAGATTGTTTGCAGTTATTTAATCCATTAGTTACTCTGTTCAATACTTAACAGAGGGATACTTAAGTAATGTATTGGTAACATCAGATTATTAACTCAAGGTTATGGCTTTTCAAATTGTTTTGAGATGAAGAGAACTAAAATACAACTTTACGTATTTTTAAACTCAAGGGCTCTTTCATGAGATAAAATTAGATTTTATCAAGAACAAAGCTACATTTGGGGCACCTGGGTGACTCGTTAAGCGTTTGCCTTCGGCTCAGGTCATGATCCTAGGGTCCTGGGATCAAGCTCCACATCGGGCTCCCTGCTCAGTGGGGAGTTTGCTTCTCCTTTACCCTCTGCTCCTCTACCTGCTTGTGCTCTCTCTCTCTCAAATGAATGAAGAAAGTCTTTTAAAAAAAAAAAAAGGAAAAAATAAAAAAGTTATTTTTGAATGGAATGTGTACACTATATATAATGTTACATGAACAAGGTGAATGTACGCTTGTAGTGTATAATATAATAATAGCTTACATTTGTTGAGTGCCCATGTTATGAACAGTGTTAAGGGCTTTACATGTATTAGCTCATTTATTCCTCATGACAACCCTTTGAGGTGAGCATTGAAGGAAAGCAAAATAAGCCACCCCAAAATATGCCTCTTTGGCATAAGGATTATTTTGAGCTATTTTGAGAAATGGCAGACATAGGAGAAACTCTGAAAACCAGAGAAGCTACCCTTTTGTGAGAGAAATTTGTATTTATAAAGGAGTCCTCCATTTGTGTCTCCCTCTGTGTACCTGGAAAAGAAGGATGACTCTGAATCACAAGAGAATCTTTTTTTTTAAGGTATATTTATTTATTTTAGAGAGAGAGAGAGCGTGTGTGAGTGGGGGGGCGGGGGCAGAAGGAAATGGAGAGAAGGCTCAAGCAGACTCCACACCCAGCATGGAGGCTGACACAGAGCTTGATCTCAGACCCTGAGATTACCACATGAGGTGAAACCAAGAGTCAGCCACTTAACCAACTATCACTCAGGCCCCTTGAATCACAAAAGAATCTTATCAATGGAGAAAGCTCACTTAAATCTGCATAACAACCTTACCCTTGTTGGCATTTCCTGGTAACCCCCCAAAATTGGCCTCTCCCCATACCTTTCTTTCTACTGTATTTAGCTGGAAATGGTATTTAAGGTGGAGGCTTAGGCCACTTCAAGGAGTTTCTCATTCTTCCGCCCCACCTCGCGTGTATTTTTCCTCTTATTAATCTGTTTTTTATTGCAAGGATGTCTCAGCCAAGCGCTCAGAAGATTAAAGAATTACTTCCTGCTCCCCCCACTTTCTAACAGCATCATTATTATTCACCTTTTAAAGATTTGAACCCAGGTCAGTCTGACTTCGGAGACTGTGGTTTAATCACTACGCAACTCTCTCATTAAAAATTATTGAAATAATTTTTTACTAAAATATATTATTATATAAGTATTTACTTATATAATATAAGTATTTATATTATAAGTACTTATATAAATAAGTATTTACTAAAATACTTATTTATATAAGTATTATATGTTATATGATATTATATATTACATGTAATATTTTCATAGTATAATTATATATCACATATTTTATATGATAATGAAAGATCCACAGAGGGACAACTATCCCAAATTTATAAGGGCTAAAAAGGGACCATAACTGTCTATGAGACAATGCCCGATGTGTTCTATTACTGTCGTATAAAAAAATGTGCTGTAAGAGCACAAAGGAGTCTGAGAAGACTGAGGAGAATTGAGGAAGTCTTCACAAGTAGGTGACATTTGAGCTATGCCTTGTGAGATGAATAAAAATTACCAGACAAAGCACAATTGTGGAAAGGGAGAGTCTACCAGTGAGCGGAGGAGAAACCTGAGTCATCAGAGGGTAAAAAAGCCAAAACCAGTCCTCAGGCGTTGCATTTGAAGCTCTGTCTCTCAGGGTAAGCTGCTTGAGTTCATCTTCGCCTAGTCTCTGGGTCAATTCTGTTTTCTTCCTCTATTAAAACCCAATTTCTTCTTGCCTTTGTTGTTCTACAGTGATTCTATTAGAGCTTTAATACAGAGCAATTGAGCAGGCGCATTAGGAAGAGCACCCTGGAAAGTCTTACAACAAAGACCCACTTACCAGGAACTTCCATGAAAGGCACAGGCCCATTTGCTACTCTGAGAATAAATCTGTTTTGGCAGCAACATGTGGGTTTGGACCACCCATGTCCTCCTCCCTTTTCTCAGGAAAAAGGGGAAAGAGAAAGGAACGTAGGGAGCAGAAATGGTTTATTAGCTTTGGAAACTCTAAGGAATTGGCTCTGTAAACTATATTTCCAGCTTATTCTTGAAGACTATACAATTCTGGTGGGAAACAGATTAGCTATATAAAAGGATGGCAGATCGCCCTACTCAGGAAATGAGCTTCCACGAGAGGATCTACAACAGCTCATAGGTCAAGTGCCAAGGAAAAGCAATCCCTGGAGGAGGCGCTGAGCGTCACTATGAACCAGTGACACCATCTCGATAGCCAGACACTAGTCATAGTTACAGTTGGACTCAGCTGCAGATGGGAGAGGATAATCTGCCCATGGTCCTTCTAGCTGGACATAGAATTAAATTGACATGAGACAGATTAACAGGAGAAAATCAAATGTAGTAGGCACATGTACGGGAATCCACATAGACACAAAATTCTAAAGACAGTGAGGCAACATGAAGCTTCTATGAGTTAAGAAGGGTAGAGTCAGAGGACACAAGGGGGAGAAAGTTCATCAGCAAGAAGGTGAAGGGAGATGTTTGGAGAAACATGGTTGCCCTATTGTGCAGAGTTCTTAGATCAAGGGGAGTCTCTGTTAATAGCTTTCTGCCTGTTATAGACTCTCCTTTCCAACATAAACTTGGCAGTTGCAAGGAGGCAGAGTGCTTTTCCTGCATCTGCTGGGTTTTGATTACTTTTAACTCAAAATAATCTTTATGCCAAAGTGGCCCATATTGGGACAGCCTGCCCTGGGCCCCTACCATAACTATCAAATTCTTCCTTGGATATTGGAAATATCATGACAGAACACCTGTGAGAAGACAGGAGCTGCTGACAGCGTAAAAGAGTGCTCTACATCAACTATGAACCCGTTAGACATTTGTAAATGCCCCTGCTGCACCACAGGTGGGGGAGCCTGCCTCCTACACAGAAGACAATGGTTTTAAAGCAGTCAAGGCGCTGGAAAGAGCACCGGACTAAGAGTAAGACAGACCTGGGCACTAATTCCAGCTCTATGAACTTCGTGACAAGTTAGGAATTTTTTGGAGATTTAGTTTACTCACATGTGAAATATGGAAATAATAAAACAACTGCCCTGCTTGACTCACATTTGGTCCTGTTGGGAAGATGAAATAAATTGAGACATGAAAATGTGTAGGAAATTGTCAAGCAGATATAAAGCACTATATTTGTTGTGATAAAAGTAGTGAGCCTCCCTTACTCCCCTACCTGGAAATAGGCAAAGGCCAAGTGATCCAAGGCATCCTCTAGACTTGCCTCATCCTCTGTCTTCCATTCTCCATAAGATCCTCGGAAGAGACTAACAGCCTCCTCCAGCCATGGAATGGCATGGTAGTAATCCCCCATGTCATACGCCACCTGTAGATAACATAAGTACCATCATTAAGCCTGAATCCACAGGTAGAGGAAAGGAAATGACAAAGAGTAGGAGGGCCTATAGAACACAAGCAGGCAAGTTTTCATCTCAAATTCATTTAAATTCAATTTATCAACCATCCATTATATCCAATGCATTGTTCTAGATGTAGCGAAGACACAAGGGTTCTTGCATTTAAGGAACTTATAATATGGGGAGAAGAAAGATATGAACTCAGTTAACTGTAATACTGGGCAAAATGCACCAATACTCAAAGGAAAAATGCATAATATGTCATGGAGGTAGAGAAGGGAGAGACTTGGGAATCTCAGAAGGCTTCATGGAAGAAGTGGCATCTGAGGTAGGCTTACCCTGAAGAAAGAAAAGGATTTCAATGAGCAGAGATTGAGAGGAAGAACATTTTAAAGTAAGGGAATGGCAGAAACAGAGCCAAAAGCAACTTGTGTTCAAGTTAGACACTGTGTTATAGCTTAAGGTGAGGAGAAGCAAGAAATGAACTTCAAAAGGTAGCATGGACTAAGTTAATTAGAGTTGTGAGTGTCAGGCTTTTAAAAAGATACTGCCGGTAGCAATGCGAGAAATGGACTGAATTCACTCATTTATTTATTCAATATTTACTGAGTATTTGCAATGTATCTGGTGATCCCTGACCTTAAAGAGCTTATAGTCATATGAGGGGCACAAGAGTAAATCAATAATTGCAACACAATGTATTAGACCCTCACGGGAATGTTCGAACAGCCCAGTGACTTTTTTCTATATTAAATGTTGGAAGGCGGGAATGTGGCAATGTGTACTAGAGCTTTCTCCTGTCTTTTAACAGCTTACAGTTAACTAGAATTCCAGCACTGCAGGTGGAATTTCCTGGAAGTAGATGTTGGAGACAGCATGGAATTATAAAATCACAGAGTTGGAAGCACTCTTACAAAAAATTCTAATTCTACTCTAACTTCCGACCGGCAAAAAGATAGGGCAGATCCTAGAGGTACTGAAACTCTGCAGTCTAAAACAGTAAATCAGCTTTTCTTCCAGGTCTGCCATTCATCTGCCATGTTATTTCTCTGATCCTTACTTTTCCTGTTTATGTAAAAAGGTTGAGTTGAAGAATGAGAGACAAAATGACTGAACTTTTTGTGCTAAGTTAACAATTTGTTTAAATTTTCCCAAGTCCCAAAAATATGGTAGATTGAGATAACTGGAATCCTTCCAAGAAAAAAGACTTGGAACTTTTGAATAAAATATAACAAATATTTTATGATATATTTTCAAGAAAGAATGGAAAATACCCAGATACCAGAAACGAAAAAGGAGCTAAAAACCTCAGCAATGAGCTTAAGAGCAGATGCTGAAGCTGCTTAGGATGGGGGCAGTGTTAGTAATCCCGGTACTTAGCAAAATTTGGTTATACTGCCCACATGAGCCCCCCCTATACCTCCCAAACCTAGGCACTAGAACAAAGACACACTCATAAAACTGAAATCCATGAAAATCTATACCTTAAAGGAAAGGTAGACCAGAAAAAAATCTACCCATTGTTGCAAAGAGTCAAGAAAACTGGTTTGTTTCTGTCTGGATATTGTTCAGGGGAAGCAAAATGTCTCCTTAAAATATTCACAGTCTTGAGCCTATGTTTCATGTGAGTTTAGGGTTTGAATCTGCATTATTCATATAGCTCAGGAAACTCCAGGCCAAGAAATCAATATCATAATGGATCTAAGGTCAGTGCAAATCCAAACCACAATGAGATATCACCTCTTGCCTGTTAGAGTAGCTATTATAAAAGGACAAGAAATTGTGCTGGCAAGGATGTAGAGCAATAGTGCTATGCACTGTTGGCAGGAACGTAAATTGGCACAGCCAATGTGGAAAATAATATGGAGGTTCCTCAAAAAATCAAAAACAGAAGTACCTTTTGATCTACCAATTCCACTTCTGGTATTTATCTAAATAAAATGGAAACACTAACCCAAAAAGATATGCACCTCCATGCTCATTGCCAGTATTATTTACAACAGTCAAGATATGGAAACAACTTAAGTGTCCATTGATGGATGAATGGATAAAGAAATGTCACACACACACACACACACACACACACACACACACACACACACACACGATGAAATATTATTCAGCCCTAAAAATGGAAAGTTGCCACTTGCAACAACATGGATGGACCTTGAGGGTATTACGCTAAGTGAAGTAAGTTAGACAGAGAGAGACAAATACCATACGATCTCACTTAAACGTGGAATCTAAAATAAAAACACAATAACAAAAACCCGAGCCTATAGATACAGAGAACAGACTGGTTGCCAGAGGTGGGAAGTAGGGGGAGAGTGAAATGGGTGAAGGGGGTCAAAAGGCACAAACTTTCTATTATAAAATAAATAAATCACACAGATATAATGTACTCCAAAAAAAAAAAAAAAAAAAAGGAATCTAAGGCCAGTGATACCACCAGAGTACTGGAAAAAGAAAACCCAGAACACTTTGGAGTGATATTCCCACAACTCCAGTCACAGAGATTCTTCTAGATGGGGAAAATAATCCTGCTAAAAATAAGCTCACAAACATAATAAATCATATCAGGAAATAATCAGTCATGAGCAAGAGTCAATAGACATGACCGTGGCATAGTACAATTAGACAACTAAGAATTTCAGAAACTAGAAAGGCTGGTCTGCTTTAAAATAATCCATGGAGGAGGAAATTAGAGATGTGTAGATGAAATAAATTTGGCCACAAGTTAATAATTATTGAAGCTTCTTCTTTGACCCGGCAAGGCCACTCCCAGAGAAATAAAAACAATTGTTCACAGAAAGACAAGAACGTTAATAGCAGCTTTATTCACAGTAGCCCAGGCTGGAAATAGTGCAAGTATCCATTCCTAGTAGACTGGATAAACAGTATGTAGTATACTCATACAACGGAATACTACTCAGCAATAAAAAGGAATGAACTGTTAATAAATGCAACAGGTGGATAAACTTTACAGATCCAGTGTGCTGAAAGAAGCTGGACTCAGGATAGTACACATATATTGTATGGTTCAGGACAGTTCCTGGGCACCCAGGCAAGGGTTGAGTGGAAGGGAGGGGTCAGGAATGGTAAGGAGAAAGAAGAGGGGGGCTTTATTGAGCTATATGTAAATTTATTTTTTAATATTAACCTTAATGCCTTTTGTTTTACATAAATTCCTTTTTAAAATTTGAAATGAACATTGCAAAATTTTAACATTTCATCTCAATTATAGATATAATTGCTTCTTATATTATTTTATGTAGTTTTCTTATATTTGAAATGTTTTATCTTTTAAAATAAGTGAATCAAGGAGCGCCTGGGTGGCTCAGTGGGTTAAAGCCTCTGCCTTCAGCTCAGGTCATGATCCCAGGGTCCTGGGATCGAGCCCCGCGTCGGGCTCTCTGCTCAGCAGGGAGCCTGCTTCCTTCTCTCTCTGACTGCCTCTCTGCCTACTTGTGATCTGTCTGTCAAATAAATAAATAAAAATCTTTTAAAAAAAATAAAATAAAATAAGTGAATCAAGACAAAAATAAAGATGGCCGGTGAGGGTTTCAGGAAGGCACTTACTGCATTTTCAATATATGGTTTTAGTTTCAGAAAGGCTTCACAAATGAAGTGTATATTGGTACCATACACAGAACTATTTTACCTGGCTGAAATTTAAATTAGCCATGAACATGATGATTGAGCTGATTCCATTCAGAATCCTAGAGAAGGGAAAATGGTACATAGAGAGGCTTAGGGCAACCCACCCTGCACTAATTTGGAAGACTGATCTCTAAAACTTAAAATCAGGGCACATGAGGCCCAGTCTCAGATATGCTAATGAATACCGCAGGGGCTGGGAAAATTTACTTTCCTGTAATACACATCTTCAAAATTAAAAAGGACTTACTCCATTACTTCTTGTGGCAAAGGCTAACAAAGAATATATTGTAAAATAACCTCAAGTGTGCTTATAAGTTATGATCAAAGATCAGTTAAATTTCTCATATGGAAGGTTCCTGAAGTCTATTTCCTCAAGTAATGTTAAAGTGAATGGCCTCAGCTTTTTGACACTACCTTAATCCAATACTTCTAAATGCTCAGGAAATGTTGCAAGGGATTCCAGAAAGTCTCAGGAAGCTGAGTTTTCGTGACCTTACCTCACATCTCCCTCTCTTCTCCCCTTCCCCAACCTTGAACCCTGCTTCTCCTTTCCACCCAGCCATTTGTCTGTTGGAAGGGCGCTACTGTTAGGGTGACCCCAGGACCATTTTTCCCAGTCCCAAATTATGTCTGTCATCTGGCCATAACTAGTAACACTCCCTTTACTCTCCAGAATGTCCTGCGTATGTGATCACCTTAGTTATTATGGAAAGAACATGGGACTCAGGGTTAAAAGACCCAGGTTCAGAATTTATTTCTGCTACTTAAAATTGTGTAACCTTAGGCAGATTACTTACCATGTCTGACCTTCGGCTTCTTCATCTGAAAATGGGGAATTATACCAAATTTCCAAGTTTGCTGGAAGGACTTAACGCATGTAAAAGCAATCAGGATATAGTTCCTTTATCCACAAGAAACAAGGGCTGAGCGCTTCGGTCTCTCTCTCTGGATACCGTTACCTTGCCAACTTGGAAGCAGTCATCTGCTGTGAGGGAGAAGAGCCTCCTGGGGCTGTACAGGTCAGTGACAGCAGAGCCAGCAACTCTTTGGAAGACGCCCCGGGCCAGGCCCTTCACGTTGAGCATGTACACATCCTGCAGCCGCATCAGGGCCCTTGCTGCTCCCTCCACGTCCTCAAAGGCTGGGAGGTCCTGCTCCACCTTCTCATAACCATCTTTCAGAGCTGTCAAGGCGGTAAAAACACCAATCCACCATTCAAAAAACAGGCAGGGGCACCTGGGTGGCTCAGTGGGTTAAGCCGCTGCCTTCGGCTCAGGTCATGATCTCAGGGTCCTGGGATCAAGTCCCGCATCGGGCTCTCTGCTTGGCAGGGAGCCTGCTTCCCTCCCTCTCTCTGCCTGCCTGTCTACTTGTGATCTCTCTCTGTCAAATAAATAAATAAAATCTTTAAAAAAAAAAAAAAAACAGGCAGTGAGCATTTAATACAGGCAAGGCATAACCACCTGTTCAAATATTTCATGAGCATATAACATGTTTTATGTGTTTTTATTTCCCATGGCTAGCAGAGTCCTGGTGCAGAGTGGATGCTTAATACAATCTTCTGAATGAGGAACATAAGCTTTAGAGTAAAAACTAAAGCACACACATGTTGTTCCATCCTGTCTGTCTCCAGGAATCTTGCCCTTTGTGGGGATAACTGTTCTTCCTCCTAATCTCCCCAAAGTCAACAAATTTCTTCAAGTACAAAATAGAATAAATTAGGAAACTGACCTTGCTTCAGATCACATTATAGTTTAATCAAATAGAAATTATTAGACAAATATGTAAATGGAATGATATAACCTGTACTTCTTCATAGGGTTATGGTGAAGCTCAAATGAGATAATGGACATGAAAGCATCTTTTTTTTTTTTAGATTTTATTTTTAAGTAAGCTCTACATCTAACATGGGGCTGGAACTCACAACCCCAAGATCAAGAGTCGCAAGCTCCACCACCTGAGCCAGCCAGGCCCCCCAAAAGTGCTTTCTAATGTACAATCACATAGACATATTAACAAGAGGACCTTAATTCTCTGTTAATAGCAAAAGCTATGAAGATGGAGTAATACCTACCCACTTTATGACCCTTCATCACATTCCACCAGAATCTCTCTCCTTTCCAGAGTCAGGAGACAGAATCTTCTCTTACCCTCCAGCCCTCCTCCTCATTACCTCGGATGTTCTCACTGGCCTCCAGACTATGTACCACATTCCTCCAGTCAGACTGTAGGCGTTTGATGAGAGTAAATGCAAGCAGAGGGTTAGACACAGGGGTTGCCGAATCCTCATGCAAAGAAAGCACCTTGTCATAGAATCTGGAAGAGAGGAGTAGAACAATCTCACTTACTGATATAGCCACTGCCCCTAGCAAAGGCTGGCACAGTGTATGTGCATTCAGAGTAGTTAAAAATGAAACATGAACCCCTGGCGACTCACATAATCCTCTAGCCAATAAGCTCAAAGAATATGAAAACTACCAAGACAAGAGAAGGAGATCCATCCATTTGTTCATTCAATGAGTCAGTCTCTGCTCGTCAGTTACTGTACATCAGGGACCACGCTAGATGCTGAAGATTCAAAGGCAAGACAGGGTGGAGCTCTCAAGCAGTTCACAAGCCAGAAAATCTTTCCTCTCATCACTCTATTGTCAATATTTAGAATCTGGTAGAAGCTCAAAAATGTTGTGAAATTAATTGCAATAATTGTGATACCTGCTAGGAGAGAAGAGAGCTTATAAAGAGCCATGTAACGCTCCAGCTACTTGTAGGCAAGGCCCCTAACCGAGGCAGAAGTTAGAAGGTGTTAGGGAAGACTTCCTGAAGGAAATGGCACTTGATCTGAGTCCTAAAGGATTAAACAATTGATAGCTGCTACTTACTGAGCCTTTACCACGTACTAGGCATTCTGCTAAGTGCTTTATATATATTTTGTCTCATTTAATTCCCCCCAAGAAACCTCAGATTAGATTTTATCAAACCAACATTGAAGAGAGAGAAAATTGAAACAAGGCCACACTATTAGTGACAAAACCAGATCTGAACCCAAATCTTCCTGACTCTGAAGCTTGCTCTCAGCTGATTTTGCCATACTGTTTCCACGGAGCTAAAACAAAAAAGGAAGAATTTTTTTTTTTTTTTTTTTTACTTGAGTATAGTTGACTCACAGTGTTATATTAGTTTCAGGCGTACATCACAGTGATTCAAAAAATACAGAACGCTTCACGAATTTGCATGTCATCCTTGTTCAGGACCCATGCTCTTCTTCTCTGTATCACAGGAAGAATATTTTTTGAGCCAATGAGACTAACATATACAAAAGCACAGCGGCTTGACAAGTATGTGTTCATTAATAAGTCGGTCTAAACTGGTTACTTGCTAGATGGCGGACTCCATGCTAGATGCTAGGGATGAAAAGACAAGACATGAGGAAGGGAGGAGAGGCAGTCAGAGACAATTCAACATACATGAAGGGACAGAGAGAAATGGTAGGGGGAGTTCTGAGCTGTTCAGTAGTGCTGGAACCCTAGGTGTGTTGGGAGGATGATGGGTAGGTCAGACTGGACAAGAGAAGAGCACCCCACAGGCCCTGCTGAGGAATTTGGGTTTTACCTTGAGTGCAATTAGAAGCCGCCAAAAGGTTTTAGGTGAGAGCTGGATACACTAGGAAATGTTTACGTATATGAATCTGTGAGAGGGTGGGGTTCAGAAGTGGGGAAGAGTGGAGGCAGAAAGAACTGTCTGGAGGTCAATTCAAAACTGGAAGCAAGAGTAAGGAGGGTCTGAACCATAATAATGACAGTGGGTGCAGAGGTTGGGATAGATTCAAGGGAGATATTTAGGAAGAAGTCCACATAAAAAACTAGTAGCTGTAATGGGGGAGGTGGATGTGGGGTGGTCCAGCAGGCGTCCAGCCTCTCTGGCTTGCCAAATGTGTAGAAAAGGACCAGAAGCGACCATCTTTCTAGTTAATTTCTCTCCTTTTCAGATGTCCTAAAACAGTGTTCACATCAGCAAAAGATGCTGTTTCCTTTCCTGGCATACTACAATTATTCCATTTCTAACACACTATTGGGATTAACATGATTACAATTTATTCATGGTAATAAGGCAGACCTAAGAGCTGTTGGCATGCCCTCTAAAATTTTTTCCCTTGATTTAAAATTATTAATTCCAGGAGTAATATAATAACAACAATGGAAGTAAAAAGAAAAGAGTGTGTGCAAAGTGAAGAGGACATGGGTTTAAAGGCATGTGCTCAAGAGCGGTGAGAATATAGGCATCCTTTGGCCAGAGTGGAAGACTTGAGTGAGGAGGTAGGGATGAAAGTTAAGAACAGAGGGAGTGGCAGGGTGGGGGGATTCATTGCCTTGAAACTGAGTCTGACCTAAGGGTTTCTCAAGGGTGGAGCCTGAAATAGAAGATGACTTGCCTCCAGGTGCCTCCAGGGAGCCAAGAGTTGAATTCAAGCATAAACTAAGGGACGAGAATCTGGGCCTTGGTGCCCCAGAGAGGAAATGAAAACCCTGTCAAGTCCCAGGATGTCTCTGATCTCTGAAACAAGGCACTTTGAGAATGGCTACTCTACAGTTTTAAAAACTAAACCAGCCTCCTGGGGTGGGATTTTTTTTTTTTTTTTTTACTACCCATTATTTCCTGCTCCTGCTCCAGCTCCATATGGAACTACTTAGTGCAAGATATTTCATTGCTAGACGAAAACACTTACAAGCAGAGACTTGGGCTTGAATCCAGCCTGAAGAGTAAGTATCCAAGGACAACTGAGGCTGAGTGGGCAGTAATTTTATAGACAGTTGGATTGGAAGGAGAACTGGCCTCCAACTGTCCCTCAGTTTGCTCCTCTGTAATATGACAGAACTGGTCTAATCTAGAAGGTCTCTCTGGATCCTTTCAGCATGACCATTCTATTGTTTCTTTCCATCATCTTTTCCATAACTGAATAAATAGATTCTTCATTTGATGCTTGAGGATGTTTAACAGGCATCAGAGGAAAGACACAAGGCAGAGACGTGAAAATTTCCCCCAAGTCCTCCAGCATTCAAAAGCCCTAGTGCCTTGTTCTCTTCACATGGTACTTTGTGTTATGGGGTCAGTTTATTTAGGGCAGGGGTTGGATCTCTATGGCAGCACATAATTCAGTTCGGCATTCAGATACATCATTTTTCTTTCACACAAAGAAAAAAACCTATCAACAGATATCTGAGACTGGTTTGGAATCCAAACATTGGCCCTATTCCCAGCCTCTGAGCAAATAGCTGGTTTTCAGAGACCGAATCACTGGATGCTGAATTCAAACCTCAAGTTTTCCTAAATGGCTTTTGCTTTAACAAATGTTGCTGAGAGTAGAAAATCAGATCCTTGCTTCAAGAATCTGCACATAAAATTTGCAACCCAATCCTGCATTAAACATAGCCTGGATAGGTTATCCAGCCGCAATACGTAGGCTATTTTAATTCAATATGTTTCTTCTTGAGAATTCAGCAATGGCTGTGTCTCAGATCTTCTGAGACATTCCAAATGCTTAATTCATAACACAAAAATTATTGCTGCTGATATTACTCTTTCAATCTTGGTAGCTTTTTAAAACTGAAATAGCAAAATTTAAAAAAACAATATATATATATATATATGTATATTATAACTAGTAAAATTTTTATTCATTAACTTGGGGGTAAGGAGTAGTTTCAACATTGAAAAATATTTTGTTTCTTTTTTTAAAAAAGCTTTTATTTATTTGAGAGAGAGACCAAGAGAGTACATGGGGGGCATGGTGCAGAGGTAAAGGGAGAACTTGCTGAACAGGAAGCCAACCTCTGCTAGATCTAGGATCCCAGAATCACGACATAGGCTGAAGGCAAACGCTTAACTACCTGAGCCACTCAGGCACCCCCAAAATATTTTATTTCTAATTCAGAAATTTAAATAAGACTATCTACTGAGGTCCTTAGAAATAACATCTCAAGTCACATTAGATCACCAGATTGGGATTATAAGGAAAATAAGCAGAACTGCCAAAATTTTTGTTTTAGAAAGCAAATATCTCACTAGGTTTTAGAGCATTGACTAAGGAACAGACAGTCTCTAAGATATCAAACTAAACTTTCTGAAATTAAATGTTCATAGCTCATAGGAGAAGAGAATCTAGAATTTTTCTGAATCTATCTTATTATCTAGGCTCTCACAATCTTAGTTACTGCTTAGAGCCAAAGGTGGAGTCTAGTTTCACCAGGCAGTCTCAAAATAAACAAAAAATCACACAGAGCTAACATTTGTTGAGCACCTACTACATTTCAAGCAATATGATAAATGCCTTTACATGGTACTAATCCTTCCACCAAGTCTGTGGGGTAGGTGCTATCATTATCATCATTTTGCAGATTAGGAAAATAATGCTTAAAGAGGTAAAGGACCTTGCCCAAGGTCAGAGCCAAGGATTCAAGCAAAGGTCTATTAAATTCCTACATCCAGACTCTTAACCACTATGTACTCCAGCTATTCATAAAACCTTAGCAGTTATGAGGTTTGGTCTGGGTCCTGGCACAGCAGATAAAGCAAGCAGTAAGGACCTACCTGATGGCATGATACGAAGAAACAATCAAAAGAACTATGTCCTAGTCCCGTATTTTGCTACCTACTAATGTATAATCTCGGGTAAGGGGACTAAACTTTAGTTTTCTTATATTTTAAATGATTTCTCATTTGTTTATGAGAGCCATACAAACCTATTTCAAAGCATGTGTGTAAGGAGCAAATGAAATTAGGGTTCTGTGAAAGAGCTGTGACTATGACAATGGTGATGAGACAGTAAAGGAGACCAGCATCAGTGTCCCCCATCCCCTCCATCAGTTACTCTGATCCACAGTGCCATCTCTGTTCTGAACCTGTTCCCTGGGAGGCCTGGCATGAGGATCTTGCCCCCGCATCTCTACCTGAGCCACCCAACTAAAGAGATTAGTGGTATGAGAACAAGCACATGGAAGCAGGGAACTTGGTGGAATCTCAAATCAAAGAGAAGAGTCTTTTATTTCGACCAATAAACCTAGACTCCGATGCATGCGGACTAAGAACAGAATTAAAACATTTTGCTTTATAGAGTAGGCCCATAAAACACTGGGCAACTATGCAACCCTGAAGAGTGACAAGAATTACTGAACTTATCCTTTACTATTATAACACACACATACATTTTGTGTGTGTGCATGTGTGTATATTCAATTCACACTATTCAAAACTGATAGTAAATTTAAACACACATATAACTGCTTATATGCAAGCTACATACTTAAGAGCACATACCAAATCACATCATTCAGTCGCCACTGAGTAACAAGATCTTTCACACACACTTCCACACATAGCCTGATTCTCTCCAATAGGGCTCTCTCCCACTGCCACAGTGTCCCACATGCCTTCTTCCCATGCGCCCCAGAATTAGTATTACTATCGCATACACTCGCTCAGCTATATCAGCGGTGCATTGTGAGACAGCTCTCTGTTGCCTCAGCTCAGCAGAGGGCCAGATGATGTAAGACATATTTCAATTTATTCAGATAGCTATGTGGTTACAGCACTGTTGGAGGTTTCTTCATGTCCCAAGGAGAAGACACAACATACTCAAACACAATGTATCACACAATACAGTCATTCATTTTTCAGTTTGACAGTCAATACATGATTACAGTACCCCAGCGTGCCAAGTCTACAGTCTTTTATGCCACAGTGTGTAGCACTCGAGTTTGTTGATTGTATGGCAAACAGTATTAGCTGAGCATCTGCTTGCGTGTGCTGCACTCAGTATCCTCTAGTATCAAGTATGGTTTTCCCTACTGTTTTCTTGGTCTCAATATACACATATTAAATCTCAGTTATCTCATATTTAGAATTTAAATCTTTTTTTGAAGATTTTATTTATTTGACACAGAGAGAGAGAGATCGCAAGTAGACAGAGAGGCAGGTAGAGAGAGAGGGGGAAGCAGGCTCCCTGCTGAGCAGAGAGCCCAATGCAGGGCTCGATCATAGGACCCTGAGATCATAACCTGAGCTAAAGGCAGAGGCTTAACCTACTGAGCCACCCAGGCGCCCCTTTATTTAGAATTTAGAGAACTCTGGGGCGCCTGGGTGGCTCAGTGGGTTAAAGCCTCTGCCTTCGGCTCAGGTCATGGTCCCAGGGTCCTGGGATCCAGCCCCATATCGGGCTCTCTGCTCAGCAGGGAGCCTGCTTCCTCCTCTCTCTCTCTTGCCTGCCACTCTGCCTACTTGTGATCTCTGTCTGTCAAAAAAATAAAATCTTAAAAAAAAAAAAGAATTTAGAGAACTCTTATTAAATGTGGGAAGAGAAGGAGAGTTGAAAACAAAGGAGACATTGGACATCTCTGATTAATAATCATGATGCCACCGACTCCAAGCTCCCTGAGGGCAGAGTTGGGTCTTGCTCACCATTTTATCCCCACTGCCTGGAAAATATGTGGCTCAGAATAGGCAAACACCCCTACTAAATGAGTTAATGAACACGAAACCTTATTCATATACTGAGCTGTACAAGCAGCATCCAGAATGCTGCAGACATATTCATACCATCGTGCCCATCCAGTCCCAAAGGCACGTAAATCTCACACACGGTCACACAATGTCACTTCCTACTAAACACCCCTTCTCTGTCACACACGTGGCTACAGTAACACTGTATTTTCTCCCTCTCGCTCTTGCAGTCGCGCTGTGTCTCTGTGGCACAGAGCCTGGAGACCCACCCGCATGCCCTATGAGGTCCTCCTACTAGGCCTGAGTCACTCCCACCACAATTTGCCACAGCGCATCAACTTGGCTGTGTGAAGATGGCCCTGGATGCCACTGGGTGTGTGCGACGGAGTTCGAGGCTCCACACTGTGCGATACAGCGTCCCCGAGGTCACGTTCGGTCTCTTTCTCCTTTATCTCATGCCACGGTGTGTCGGGGGTCCCACACAGGGGGACAACGAGTCCGACGGCCACAGTGGGCCACGCGGTGTCTCAGCCTTACGGTCTGGTGAGGCTCTTAACCCTACTCTCAAACGGGGTCTAAGGTCCCACGCTGAGCGACAATAAGACTGAGTCACCCGCCACCCTACCGCACGGTGCCTCGGTCTTGCCCTCTGACTCAGTCTCCCCGACTCACGCGCCCCCGGGACCACCGCGCGCACTTTTTCTCACCTGGTCAGGTCGCGCAGCCGCGCCTCCTCCCCGCGCAGGTAGCGCCGCAGCAGCCCCAGCAGCCGGCGCTCGGGCGCCAGGGCGCGAGCCACGCTGGTCAGCGCCGAGAACGTGTCCCCCCGCGCCGCGGCCCCTGCCGGGTCCCCTGCTCGGAGCGCCAGCACCGCCAGCAAAGCCACCAGCCCCGCCGCGGGGCCCATCGCCGGCTCTCGCGTGCGTCCCCTCGGACCTTCGGGCCAAGCCCCGGTGCGCGCTGCTCCCGCCCCCCCCGCCCCGCGCCGCCCCGCCCCGCCGGACTCTGGCCCGCCGGGCAGCCCCGCCTCAGGCCCCCCGCCCTCCTTTGCTCTGACGCCTCCCGGCGCTCGCCATCTCCGCCTCGGCTGCCCCCTAGCTCCTCTGCGGGCGCGGGGACTGCCTGCGCCCTCAGGGTCCGCGGGCCCTCCACCAAAGCGCAGCCCTGGCAAGATGTTTCCACGATGCCCTGTTCACGCTCGGGAAAACTGAGGCGTGGGTGTGGGAGGACTAATTCCCTGGTCTACGGCTGAACAGCGCCATCCCCCTAATACCCACCCTTCTGGATGGGGGGTGGAAATACAGACACTACTGGATTCTGATGGGAAAATCCAGGTGAGTAAATGAGGTGGATCCTCATGACGACGCGCTGCGCGGGGAGAGCTGTGAAGGAGCAGAGGGAAGGAAACACTTCACAGAAGACTTGACATCTGAGCCATCATGAAAGGCAGAATTCTGACCGAAGGTAAAGAGGGTGAAGTTGATTAGGGTCGCTGCATGACAAATCTAGGACCTATTAAACCTAAAACTGGGATTCTGGGTCATTGCTCTATACCACATACCTATGGACACTTAAGCAAAAACATTATTATTATTGTCTGACTAGGCTACTTACCGCCCCCATCCCAGGCAATGTTCATTCGTTCATTCAACAAATACTTAGCACCTCTGTCACGGTGCTGAGGACATAAAGAAATAGCACATCCAACCCCCCGACTCACGAGGGAAAACAGATGTAAACAAGTAAGCACAATAAAGGGCTCTCAGGAAAAGAGAGGGTTGTGCAACAAGCCCAGGGTGGTACATGTGAACTACGACCTCCAAGTAAAGCTTTCAAAAATATGGTTCTAAAGACTCATTGTTGCGACTTTAGAAAGATATAAAGGCATTGCCTAGTGGAGCTTCAGAGAATCTTAAGGGCATTTCTTAGAGTCTTTCTGGTAAACAAGAGAACCTCAAAGAGTCTTAAGAGTGTTCTCTATAAAGTAAACTATTTCAACTGGCAAAAATGCTTCTAAGAATCTTAACATTATTGTACCACAGCATCCCGACTCTCAGCCTAAGTTGCCCAGAAAGAAATATAGATGTGACTTTTGTCTAACGGAGTGAATTCCAATAAGGTTTATAGAAAATCATCAAAAGTTTTAAGATGAGGGGCACTTGGCTGGCTCAATCAGTGGAGCATGTGACTCTTGCTCTTAGGGCTATGAGTTCGAGCTTCGTGTTCAGTGTAGAGATTACATACATACATACACTTTTAAAAAAAGTTTTAAGATAATTTTATCAGAAGAAGCACTGCAAGTTTGAGTTAAAGACAAAGAAAATACAAAAAAAAAGAAAGGGAAAAAAAAGGGAGGGAGTGAGGGAGGGAGGAAAGAAGGAAGGAAGGAAAGAAGAAAAGAAAGAAAAAAGATGCCATCAGACCCTTGTATCAGTTTCCTATTGCTGCGGTAACAATTTACCACAAACTTAGTGACTTGGAACAACTCAAATTTATTATCTTACATTTCTGGAGTTTAGAAGTCTGAAATGGGTTTCACTGGGCTGAAGTCAAGGTATCTGCAGGGCTGTTTCTTCTGGAGGCTCTAGAGGAGAATCTATTCCTTGCTTTTTCCAGTTTTATGGGATGCCTGCATTTCTTGATTCATAGCCCCTTCCTTCATCCTCAAAACCATCAATATAACATGTTTACATTTCTATTTGACTTTGCTTCTACTGTCACATCCTTCTCCTCTGACTCTTTTAAGGACCTTTGTGATTACACCAGTCCTACCAAGATCAATCCAGGATAATCTCCCCATGTCAAGATCCTTAACTTAATCATATCCTGAAAGTCTCAGGTTTGGGGAAGTAGGACATGGGCATCTTTAGGAGGGGTGTTATTCTAACTATAATAACCCCCAAACTTCTGTGGGCAGAAAGCAGTCTGAGATGACTACTCAATTGTAAAGAAAGATCCATGGCCATTTCAACATTCTCTCAACCAGGAGAAGTGTTAGGAGGGAAACTGTAATGGAGAGGGAGTCAGATAGGAAAGAGATAATGTAACCAATTGTGGTTAAAACAGCTTTTGGGGGCATATTTTGCAAATATCATATAGCAATGTGAGCACATTGTTAGGTTCACACATCCTCCCAATCCTGAGGGCCTCAGAAATGGTTTGTGCAAATTAGGGGCCTTGAAGCTTAAGCTTCATGGAAAATCTGCCTCTGGTCTCCACTAAGGACATGGACTCTGAATCTACACTACCTGGGTTCAGTTCTTTGCTCTATACTTATGTTGTCTGCACTGATGTTACAGATTGGGTATTCCCAGAAGCAGACGCTGATATAGAGTTTGGGGTGTAAGATATTGGTTACAGATCAACATCTGTGAAGGAGAGAGAAAGGAAGGAATGGAAGAGGAAGAAGTCAAAGAGGCCTGATGAAGTTTTGATCAAAGTGGCAGGAGGGCTTCAGGTAGTTTATCCTGTCAGTGCTGTCTCATGTCAGGCCTGAATGGCTGGGCATTTATTCCTTCACCTCACTTGGTCATTGTTTAGGGTTCATTGAACTTCTTGGATCTCTAGGCTCACATCTTTTGTCAAATTTGGGAAATGTTCATATTTTATTTCTTCAAATACTTCTTTTACAAAATCTTCTGGAATTTTGATGACATGAATTAGATACTGCCTCATAAGGCCTCGGGCTCTGTTCATTTTTTAAAAAACATTTTTTCTCTGTTGTTTGGATTAGTTGATTACTATGAATCTATCTTTAGGTTCACTGATTCTTGGTTGTCATCTCTATTCTACTGAGTCCAATGAGTTTTTTATTTTGGTTATTTTACTTTCCATTGTAACATTTCCATTGGGTCCTTCTTTATATTTTCTATTTCTTTGTTGATACTATCTACCTTTACATTCATTTCAGGAGCTCCTTGGAGCACTTGGGTGGCTCATTTGGTTAAGCGTCTGCCTTCAATGCAGGTCATGATCCCAGGGTCCTGGGATCCAGCCCTGCATTGGGCTCCCTGCCCTTGCTTCTCCCTCCCCCTTTCTCTCTCTCTCTCTGTCAAATAAATAAATAAAATCTTTTTTTTTGGAAGTATTCATCATTCTTCTTGGAACATTTTATGAGTCTTCTATAATTTTCAACATTTGTGTTATTTCTTCCTGGATGTCTGTTGATTGCCTTTTCTCATACTTGAGATCTTCCTGGTTCTTCAAATGCAGAATAATTTGGATTAAATACTAGGTATTTTTGAATATATAAGTGTCTGCATCTTATTTAAATCTTATGGAAAATATTAATATCTTTGTGCTAGCATATAATTAACTCAGTTGGATTCAGGCCACAAGTTCTGATCTGCCTTCTGTGGCCATGGTTTCAATGTCAGTTCAATTCCCAAACTGTTTGCAATGCCATTCAGATCTGTCCCAGTTGTGTGCCACCTTTGGATCTAGACAGTGGTCTATCCCATACCTCAGTACTTAGGTCTATGGCATGCGATTTAGCATCAGATCTGTGCATGCAGAGCTAAGGGGTGAATCCAGGAATCATGGGATGGATCTCTTGAGCTTTTCCCTCTCTGCAATCTCTCTGATAGTTTCCAGGCCCCCGAGACTTCTCTTTTTGGTTCTCTGGCCAGAAACCTGGCCTTCAAACAACTCTGCTCTGTTGTGTGCTTCTCTTGACTACATATGTCTGGACCAAGTTGCAAGAGGACACAGAGAGAAAAAGATCAGTGGGGGTTTCCCCACCCTGTTGGGTTGCTGAAAACAAAATTTACAGCATTATTTGAGATGGTCCTTATGTATGTAGATGAATACATAAGATAACTCAAAGTTTTAGACAGCCATAGGAACCTCACTACCACCACTGCCATTGGGGCCACTACTGTGAGATTGCCTGGGGGAGATGTGTGGGGTAGGAAAAAGAGAAAACGAAAGGGAATCATGAGATGTTCCCCCCTCTGAGTCTGAGGAGTTCTAGTCCCTTCTTGATCCAGAGTGTGAGGTCTCCCATAGCTCCCCCAGTCCTTACCCAGGGTCCCAATTCTGGGTTTCAGGCTACTGAGGATTGAAAAATAGAAACCTGGGGCACCTGGGTGGCTCAGTGGGTTAAGCCTCTGCCTTTGGCGTGGGTCGTGATCTTGGGGTCCTGGAATTGAGCCCCGCATCTGGCTCTCTGCTCAGCGGGGAGCCTGCTTCCCCCTTCTCTCTCTGCCTGCCTCTCTGCCTTCTTGTGATCTCGCTGTCTCTCTCTGTCAAATAAATAAATGAAATCTTTGAAAAAAAAAAAAGTGGAAACTTAAAGCCAGCTCCATGGTGTCTCAAATTCTGGTCTTCTTCCCAAATTTACCTGCTGTCATTTACTTTTCCCAGTACTGACTAGAGCTTCCTCCATGATAATATTTTATTTTAATTTTGCCCCAGAGTGGAGTTTTAAAGTCACTTAAGTAATTCAGGGTTCCAAGTTTAACTAAATGCAAATTAAAATCTAACTAAATTATACTACCAGTTCGAATAACTGTGTGAAAAGAGAATAGGTATTTTCCAAGCACAGCTAAATTTCCAAGAGCTCGATGTATGTTTCTGTTTGGTATTTAGCAAGGTTTTTTTTTTTTAATTTTTAAAACAGTATTCATAGATAATCCCTATTTCTGAAAGTCAAAAACTGAAGAATGTATGCAGTAGTCCCCCTTACTCAGTTTTACTTTCTGTGGTTTCATTCACTTGAGGTCAATGATGGTCCAAAAGCAGATCATCCTCCTTCTGACACGCTGTTAGACGAACAGTAGCCTAATGCTACATCACCATGCTGACACCCTAACCTTACCTTATCTCCTAACATAGGCATTTATCATCTCACATCATCATGAGAAAGGCGAGCACAGTACAATAAGATATTTTGAGAGAGAGAGACACACACATTCACATAAC